ACAGGAACAGATGTCATGTTAGGCTAATTGGAACAGTGTTTTGAGTATCGTTATTCGCAGGGATTCCTATGTTAAGCGCAGTGATTGGTTGCTCGCATATTCTGAGATAAAGTAGAATCACGGGAATTTTAGAGTCCGCATTTTAACGGCGGTGAGCAAAAAATCCTGCCCATTTAAAGTCCCGCGAAGCAATCTACCAGTCAATCTTTGCCATTTATTTTATTGGATAAGCTTAACCAATGACATAGCACCAATTATAGTTTAGTTCCCAAATGTCTCGAGGACGGGCACTGGCTGCGTTCTCATCAATGCGACCCGCATCGCTTTGAACCGAAATTTGACGACAATGATTGTTAGAAGAGCAAGTGAGAGAAGAATTGGCTGTGCGTGATATTAGTCCACTCTCAATTCGATGCCCTTCGGTCGCATCCATGTAAACTTGGCCACTGACTCATGTATACGCCATGCTCGTTGCCCCCCTCAAAGACTGTAATCTTTTTTTTTTTTTTATGTTATTTTTAATTGCGTGAGAATTTCGGCCGCACGGACAAATCCCGCAGTACGTAGTACGTTCTTCTTTTGCAATCGCCAAGTCAACAAAATTCGCCAAAATTTGTCGGGCAAGACGTCTGCCAAATTGAGTGTACGGTGTGTCATGCGAACGTACGTTTTGTCTTTACACTGTATAGCGCAGGGATGGCCAAACCGCGGCTCGCGAGCCGCATGCGGCTCTTTGCTGCTCCAAGTGCGGCTCGCGGATCCCTCATAAGAGGACCCCCCCCCCCCCCCCCCCCCCTCCCCTTTCTGCGTTTCCCCAGGAAAAAAGAAAGGATTTCAGAATAAAGCACGGCTCGCGGTTTGGCAGCCTTGTACCCCCATACGCACAGTCGTACAGCCTTTTGCCCCCATACGTACAGTCAGACTCTGAACAAAATTTAAGTTTGCCCCCCCCCCCCCCCCTCACCCCCTTTCCGCGGCTCTTAGAAGTTTCGTGATTTCGTTTGCGGCTCTTAGGCCGTGTCAGCCTGGCCACCCTTGGTATAGCGTGTCGCTCGCACTACGGAAACCCGTAGTGCAGGCCTATGACCGCATTCTACCTCAAAATACATCAGCACATCGTAACTGGCTAAACCTAATAGTATATTCGAACAATCGCAATGACCGAATGTCAGTGTACGTCGTGGGAGCATATACGCACACAAGGATTGCTCACAGAGATGGAGTAATTTTATATGTTACGTTTACAAGGAACATGCAGCTACGGCTGCAATATGACTGGTCAGAGTGTGTTACCGCGAGAGCGGGCGCCGTGACGACGCACTTTTGGCGCCGCTTGATTCACTGCACCGAGTCGTAGCGTAACATAATAACAATTGAAAGTCAACAGTCAACTTTTTTTTTATCAGGCTTTTTCTAGTTTAAAAAAGAAATAGCGGCTCCAATCCACGCTGTGAAGGTGGTTAGCCAGCGAAGCTGGGGTATCACCTGCAACGATTGCCCACTGCACTATACCAAATGCCGCCGCTGGTCGTACTGCCGTTTCTTTTCCCTTAGCCGCTCCTCGTATTCACGCTGCTCCCCGGGAGTCCTAACCATGCGTGGCCAACCCATAGCGGTGCTACAACAACAATCATGAACCAGTTGCTATACTCTGTTTCACCTTACGTCCGGGCGCAGCGGATGCTACGAGCCATCGGAGCCAATCCAAGGCCGTGTGAGTGTCACGTGACCTTAGAGAGGGGCGCAGCGACGCGCGGAAAGCGTATCACGGGCTACGTCCACAGAACGGGATGGGCTGGGATAGTCCGGTCGTAAGGTGAAACGGAGTATAGGCGGGTTCTTCTTTTATATATTAGAGGCTAGTGACGGTCATTCCCCACGTCGCAAGCTGCCGTCGCCGCGGCAGCTTGCGCAACAGTAATCTTTACCGAGAAACGTATGCGGTGAGCGCTACGTGCTCCGCATTGTTATCAGGAGCGCCTTATCATCAATTGTCTGGGTCGGATGCTTGTTCTTTACTGAAACGAATGCTGTGATGTGTGTTGTATGCGTGATGTATGCACTTTTCGCTTAAATCCCTGAAGGGCTCTTTTTTTTTTTTCTTTTTTTTTTTTTTTTCGTGAGGACGTTGACACGAAATATCCGACCAACGAGTCATGTACGGCTTCGCTCTAAAAGACTGAGGTTAATGAGTTCACGATATTGTGCCAGACAGCGAGCATACAAGGGATGACGATATCCACGTGACACGAACAGCGCTTTGTGGTTTAAGTTCTAGTCGATCATTCGTCTCAAGGGACCGAAGACCTGCTGTTTGATGCGAACCTAACACCCAGCAAATCGTGGGATTGGTAAGGGAGACGAGGAAGGGGAAAATAACAACTGTTGCTTTCCCCTTCTTTTGCAGGGGGTGACAATGTCGCTCTTTTGTATCGAAGCCTTGTGACGCCGGCCTACGCTTTTTCCGAGGGGTTGCCGGTCCGCCTCGACACGAACCGGCGGGGCAGGGTCAAAAACAAACAAACCCCGCTTCGGAGCCCTTTCGCAACAAGCGACACTATGGCGGCCATGTTGATCCAGTGAGACGGGACTGCTGTCAGCCGGGCCGCCCCTACTGTTCTGCTCTTCTTGGTTATTTTCGACCGGTCAAATAAAGAAAGCCCCTCTTTACGGTTACGCCAAAGTTCAAGGCCCAGTGAAGGTTGCGGGCTTTCCCGGAGCGATCGGAGTCCAGCTGGACTCGATCCAGTTGCGTCCGGTTAAGAAGCACGCACCTCGCTCGAGCTGGATCGCTGTGCGCTGCATGTCTTCCAGCGCCCGCACGAGCGCACCGAGCAGCGCGTGTTCGTCGACTATGCGCCGGGAGTTGGTATATTTGCTTTGGAGAAGCGGCCGCGCCCTTTCAAAGGCGTCCATAGAGCAGCGCGGCATTCCGTACAGCCTCGAGGAAATTATACCCAAGACATACGCGAGCTGGTGACGAGGGCAGACTCGTAACAACGGGAACGCCTGTTCTCTGCTTGGGGATATTGCTCTTTAGCTTCTTCGACCGACATTTTATTTGGATGCAGCCTTCCGCCTGAAGCTGGGCTGCTAAGCGGCAGTCAACTCCACCACTGACAAGGGACACGCGCACTGCCAACAACCGAATTTTCACTTGACTACGATTTCAACATTAGACGGAGGCTGTCCAAGTCATCCTCCATAGCAGTTGACCAAGAGCTAAAGGAAATTTTTAGTTAGAATATAACGACAGTACTTTCAGTCACATCGGAATAACCAGTCAGGCCTATGCTGTTTGTTTAAATAGGTAAGATTCGATTAACAGAGTAGGAACCAAGTTTGACTCGGCACATTCAAATATTTGTTTTTTCCTCCTAAATTCATTGTTGAATGAAATAAATTGCTTAACAGATTCCGCCTATTTCGACTTGTTCATTCTCTAACTAGTACTTTTTTTCTCTTTTTTTTTTCTTTTTGAATTGCGATTTGAATTTAGTTTGGAAGCGCCAGATTGTCTGAGATGTCTACTTCTCAATGCCATATATGTTGAGTGTTAAAACTGCATAGTGTCTCGGAACCATCTCATCTTACAGTCCTTTCTGTTTTCATTTTTGAGTAATGATTTTCATCTTTTGTCACGGCCCTGTTCGCGTCAGTTATAGAGAGCGCAGTTAAATAAATAACTAAAAACGGTCACATTGGTTGAACATGCTCACTATTGCACGCCCACAAAAACGGAGAAACGATGAAAAACACGAACAATAGTCTAGGACAGCAAAAAACAATTCACATCTGTAAGGAAGTAATGAAAAGTTGAAAACAACTTAACTAAAAACATTGCAGGAGATCACGATGGGCCCATCATTATAAAAGGCACGCTTCACTCACACTTTCCGTCCCGATCGCTTCTATTCAGTTCAGCTTTGTTTCATTCTCGCTCTCATGAAATTGTCAGGCAACGTTTGTAGTAAAAATAATACTCACCTTCACTACAGAACTGTTTTTTTGTTTTTTTTATAGTAGCTAAATTGTATTTGGCGCAAGAAATGGGTCGATGTTGTACTTCGAAAGAGCAGTCACTAACAATATATAAAACCTGATCGTTCAGTACACCTTCGTAGACGTCTGAAACCTGGACAGATTATGGTGTTGGCATGTCCGATTCCTCGCGCAAAATCACGACAAAACTAATCAAGATTGTTGAATGCAAGAGTTCACGTCTGAAGTGAAGAAGTCGGGAATACACACGTTCACACGTCGATCTGTGTATACACTTGCCGTGGAAGCTTAAGCATAAAAAGTGTTTGTTAGAATAATCCTAGTAAAATAACACCAAATTTGCCCCTCAAATTGCGTGTTGACAGCCGGATGAAAGTTCTGCAACCATAATGACGTCACTGTTTTGGATATTTCGCTTACACTGACTGAATTCGATTCCAATTTCTCTCGCGTTTTCCGATTTATATATACATTTTTATTTAGACCAGGAGGTGTGAATCGCGGCCCCATCTTCTTCAAGGCGAGAAGAGGAAGGGGAAGAGGAGTGGATACTTGGAAAACACCCAGCTGCGGGAAAGCAACCATGTCACCAATTTCGAAACGGTGTGAACTCTCAAGCGTGAGCCCTCCGGTTATTTTTAAATATTTGTAAAGCACACCTCTGTCGGCGCTAAACGAAATAGTAATTGCAGCGAATCTACGTCAAGTGTCGACGGAAATGCTTGAACGTATCGCGTGATCTGAGGACATATAGTACCGGAGGCCATCGAGCACTGTAATGCAGTAACTATAAAGTACTAGATTGTGCTCAATAGAATCTAGTACTCTACAGTCGAGCAGCATATACATTCGAGCAGCATAAACTCGCGAAGCCGTAGCGGGAGAACTTAGTGCAAACTTAATAACTTATGCTCTTTCTACCGGAGAAATATTTTATAGCGGTATACGCCGAAGGATCGGTGGCGTGGAGTAAATGTCGAAAGATAAAATGTACTCACGTATGAGCTTGTTCTTCTGGACATCGCAACTTGATCGTGGTGACCAGAGGAACGATCGCGCAGTTTGTTTCCGTCCTAGCAGCTCATGCCTCCAATCGATCTCGGCGCATCACATCTGATCCCAGCAGACCGACCAAGTCTGTCACGTCGTACGACATCAGACACAAGAGTCTCTTGCAGAGGACGCTCGTCGAGCCTGGTGTCCGTGCCTGGGGTTTAGACTCCCCTCCAAAAGAAAAAAAAAAAAAAAAAAAGACCAATGAGCGGCGAGGAGGCTTTACGAGACGTGGCTAGGTCGCGATTACAACGGTTCGAGAAAAATTCTACGTGGTCCGCGTTAGACACGGCCCGAGATTCGCATCAAAAACTCTACGTTCGCAAGTCGCAAGGCCCGCGTGTATTTTGGGAACCCCATGTTAGGGGGCGCCGCCATCGGAGAAAGTCGCTGTTGAAATGGAGGAAAGGGGAACACGTACCTAATTTTGTTCTTCCCTTGTTTTTTTCCCGCTGAGTTGCTAATTTTAGAGGAGCGCAGCTCTTGGTTTTCTCCGGGGGCTGTACGCAGGGGCATCACGCGCAGCATCCGCCGAGACAGCGCTGCAGAATAACAACCCTTTCCGGTCCAGCCCGGGCTGCTTCCCGCCCCCTATCAGCTCGCATGAATGAAAGGTCCTCAGCAAGTTTCCCGGATCGAATTTCTTTATTGCCCCAAGAAGGGTGCCGCTCGTCCCGCCGTGAGAGGTTGCTTTCGCCTCGGAAGATCCTTATCAGCGAAACACGACTGGTGGTGCTCTGGACGGCATTTCCAAACTTTCTTTCATATTTGATTTTTTTATGATTCAAAGAGTGCTTTTTGCCACCCGCTGCACGAGCCCCCGGCATATGCCACGAAGCAATTCAATTCGTGGCTCTTCGTGATTTCATGGTGTTATCTATGGTGTTCTTTGCTTGGTGTACGAATGGAGTGTTATCTGCATTTCACTGTCATGCTTATGGGTACATAAAATGATAAAACAAACCTTTTTAAGCTTGAGAAGATTAGGGTGTTACTTTATTGTGTACGTGTATGCAACGACGCAAAGATGGTACTACAATTGTACTACCCCTTTCTGAGACCCTAATTATATGGCATAGAAAACCGCGTCTGTTTGCCACGAACGCGCGTCGTTCGAACAATTTGAACGCAAACGCAATAGAGGAAAAGTTCGGAGAGCTGCTTTCAGTCAGAGGTAGACAGCGGCGGTTGGCTTGAATCATATCAGGAATTTATCTGCATCAAATAACAAATCTATTTTAAATTTATTATGAAAGACAAGTTCCCTGAGAATTTCCCGTATTTTTGCACTTGTTTTAAAAAGAGGCGTCGGAACTATCCGGAGATTTGGAGGGAGGGGGGGGGGGGGGGGCGATTTTCTGCTCCCTCCTCCGCATTTTTCCATTATTATTATATATTTTTTTTTAATATCGAGAAAGAGGGGGAGTCAATCGCTCGCTCCCCCCCCCCCCCCTCCCCCCAAATGGGATTCCGACGCCACTAGTTGTTTATACTCCGTGTCACAGAGTTTCTGTATATTTGGCACTGGTCGTGTATCCTGAGGAGCCGTCGAATAATTCTACAGGTCTCCATAACCTATTTGCCGTCGTGCGCGGCCAACAGTGTCGCTGTGGTCGACCTTTCACGATTGGCAAAACGAGCACTATAGCACGTTGAGTAGATTAATTTAAAATAAATAAGAATAATGTCGTGCTCAAGCTTGCCGTCGGCAACATATAATTCTGATCGTGACGTCACAGATGGGAACTGAGGGAGCCACCGAAACAGCTCCAAAGTAAAACTTTTATTGGCGTAAATTATACCCTCGCTCAGCTCACAGAATTTTGTTTTCAATGCTGCACCCCGGAAGGCACTCACTTGATCGAATGACGTTTTAGCGAACGAATGGTCGGATGCCGCGAAGTAGCGTTTACGGGCGGGCCAAGTGGGTTCACATTTTTGTAATGAGCCGCCGCAGACTGTCGCCGCGAAGCGACGTAAGCGCAAGGCGGGGTGAGGGGGATTAACATGCCCCCCGTTATTTGCTAAAACGTCGATACGCTCAAATGTCGCTGTTCGCTAAAACGTTATTCGCTCATGTGATATGGACCTTTCTTTTATGCTATATATCCATCCAAGTTCGCGGAAATTGCGCAAAGTACAAAAGCCCACAAGTACAAGAACTTCCATCTTGCCGCATCATTCGCACGCTTTGAGCAATATAACTGAAGCTCAATAAATTACTCAACTATTAGCAACAATATTGACATTTCTTATCATTTTCAGAAATTTGAAAGCGAAACTACCTCTAAGTGGCGGCGCCACTAGGGGGCTGATGAGTGGTGACACCACCAGGGGGCTTGTGCGCGGGTGCATATTCTGTTTCATTTTATTTGCATCCGAAAGGCCACCCTAACTGGGGGTACTTTTTCTTTCATTTCACCATGTGATTCTCTTTGTGTGCGTGGAATCAATATAATGACTGCATTTGATGCGAACGGTCTGCCTGATGTGGTGTTGCTGCAGATTTTTCGAATTCTCAAGTTTTCGGATCTATGCAAAGTCGGGAGGTAAGAAAAGTTCAGTCGTTTCTCGCCGGAGCCGCGGGTTAACTTATCCTCCCTCCGATTGCGCAAGCTTTTCCTCTGGAGACCGAAGTTGCAACAAAGAGCTTTAAATCGGCTTCGGGTGGGTCCTGTCAGTGTGCACTGAACCATAGCCTCCTCCTTCCTAAAAACCATGCCTGACCTTTCCAATTGTGTCGGATACAGCAGCTTCCGTGCATTCGAATGAAGGCGGTGTTTATTATCCAGACGTAGTCCTTCCTAGCTGTTCGCCATCTGCTTCTTTTAATTTCGATTGCTACAGAGAAAAATTACGACGTGTAATTTAAATGCACGCAACTCCTGAAAGCGTCCGAAATGTCCAACCGCCCACTGCTTGGAATGGGGGAACGTCCGGTCTGCTTGGCTGCACATTCGCTACCGGTGATCCCCAGACAAAGCTGCCAGTGAGAGTTTGGACTGACCCTTAAGATACGGTTTGGTTGGCATACGCGCTACTGGCCAGTCCATTCCTGTCGTACAAACAGGCCTGTGTGGTCAAAGTGTAACGCAGAGAATTGCTTCCGCTGCCCTGGGTAATGAGGACAGGCGAGACCACCCGTCTGACACCGATAAGCCACCACTCCAGACGAGGTGTTTACGCCAACTGGTGCATCTGCAAGATTTTGTCTTCAGGCGTTTTCTTTATCGGCTCTTACGAACCGGTAAAACGTATTCCGTCAACGCGCACGAGAAAAAATAGCGCCGAATTTGTGTGCTAAAATACATGTAGGTGATTCTTGTTGCAAAACGGAGCGCACTAACAATCTGGAGGAGTGACGGGAATTGCAACTTCCTTTTAACCCTTGAACTGCCAATTTTTTTAGCTTTTACAAATATTATTTTGAAAGTTTAATTTGTGAATATTTTCATAACACTGATTCTTTTCTTATGCATAGATTTTGTCTTCTCCCAATAACAACGAGTAGTATTTTTTGAACATTTATAATGATCATAAATCTTTAATCCTGTGCCCATGAATAAGTTGGGCATAAACAAACTTTTATCTTTGACACATTGTGCAGGTAAGGACCGAGTTTGAGGATCTAGAACTGTGCCTTTGTTTGGTAGATCTCAAGGCACGGGATCACATAAACTGCCACATTGCGACCTTTGCACCAAAATCTCATTCTCTTCCGGACCTTGGATAACCCAGAAGATGAGGTCCTGCAGCAGACAATGCAGCGCCGTGTTGGAAGCTTTTTGCTGGCTGTCGGAAGAATGAAGCTCACAACATGACAAGCTGTAAGCCGCGTGGCTTCATTTTCAGACCACCTTCCTACTTTACTCTGCTGGCTCTCACTGTGGTTTGCTATCATCATTTCAATGAGGTCCAGTCACTGCTCCAGTTGACTGGGGGTGCCTCCTTGTTTTTTTTTTGTTTTTTTTTTAAGATCGATGGAGTTGTAAATACACATGTCTAAAAGGTGCCTGAAAGTCTTCTTGTAGTAGACCTTTTGCCCATTCCTCACTGGGGGTAATACGACAAGTTTTGTTCGCTCTTCTCGACACCTCCCATCATGCTGTTGTAGTCGTGGACTACAGCTGGTTTCACTACTTTTTCAATGCGAGCATTTACACTTTCCACAAGACTTGCATCATGTACTGTGGTCAGCGATGTGACTTTCTTGTCATGCCATTGCAAGGCGATGCCCTTCCCACGCTTGAAAGCTCAGACTTCTCCATTCTCCAGTTTCAGGTCTGTGAAGGGGGGGCATATATTTCCCTATTGTCTGAACGGTGCCATAGACGTCGGTCTAGTGTTGGAGGAGTTTGTTTACAAACTCTGGCGAAGTGTAGTAGTTGTTGACTGTGACGCAGTATCCTTTATTGAGGAAAGGTGTCATCAGCCTCAGAATGATCTTTGTGCCCATGGCCGTGTCTTGGTCCAAAATGACTGTCCCCTCGCCAGTGTAAATCATGAGGTTCAAGATGTAGCCTCTCTCGGACTCGCAAAGTAGGAGGAACTTCACACCAAAGCGGAAGCACCCTTGTACAGCATCAGGTTTTCATTGACTGCCACGGTGCTCTCAGGAACGTAGAGGGTGAGGAATCGCTCCTTGAGAAGACAAAGCAAAGGCCACAACTTACGAAGGTTTGGCTAGGGGTGCTGATATTCATCCATCTGATCTTTGTTACCAGCAAAATGAAGAAATCTCGTTATCAGGTGAAATCTATTCTTGCTCTTAGCTCGCCAAAGATGGGCGTTTGTAGAACCTTCCTTGTGGACCAGTACATTGTCAGTTCCGGTTTCTCTCTATTGCCCTGGAGCAATATCGGTGCAAGGAACACATTGAGCTCCTCTGCAGAAAGCAACTTTCCGGCGACAACGTGAGAGGCACCTGCCGTCTTGTGCTTTGCCAGAAACTGTGCAGCCACGCCTGTTCGTCCCCCGTACGATTCAAGCCAATCATGTCGTCGTCAAAGAAACTTTGAAAACCCCGCGAGGGTTGCGGTCATCTTCAACTGTAGCAGTCATTCCAAGCGATGCCAGAAACTGAAATAGACCAGGTTGTAGCCTCTCATTGTCAAGATTCGTCCACTTCTAAGGTGACAATGAATCTTGGTTGTCGCTTGTATCGCACTCGTCTGAGCTGGTGTTAAGATTTGATGGACAATCGCTGACACTGTCAAAAAGCACTTCATCTGAACTGCATTGAATCTTGGCAAAAAGAAGTTTTCGCTGCGACACAGGCACGTCTCTACTGCCACACGAGCTTGAAGATTTTGCCACTTTTAAACCCCAAGCAGCCAGCTGATCCACCAAAATCTGTTTTGCGCAAAAAAAAAAATTTTCAGGCACCTCATGCCATTTAGTGATAGCCAGTAAAAGCTGCATGCCTCGGAAGAGCCAGGCTTATCTATTGTAAGCAGGAAATATCCCAGCATGACAGGATGAGCCGGGCTCGTCATTAGAAGATTTAGCACAGCAAGTGTGGATGAGCAAGACTCATCCATGCCAGTTAAAGTGGTGCGAGGTGCGTTGTTGGTATTTGGTAATTTATTGGAGTAATGTTTTGTTGGCAATTACAAATGTGGGTACATACTTTACTACCCGGTTAGTGATAAATGGCGGTGCCAAGTTAATTTTGTTGGGAGGAACAATGCAACATGCCTGCTATGTTTGAAAGTATGATTTGCTGCACGTGACAAAGCGCAAGCTGCAGGTGGCTGAGGAAATCGTTGGCCTTGCAATGCAGGGTTTGCCGTCGCTGGTACACCCTTTCGCGAAGCCAGGCCCTGTGGACATGCGTGGACGCCAGCGCCCCCAAGATCAGCTCGACCCAGATGGACAAGCTGGCGTCGGTGCTGACAGGCTCGGTGCGCTGGCTCTACGTCTCCAGCTTCCTGCATCGGGGCCAGTTCCTGTCCCCCAAGGCGCTGTGTGATCTGCGATCACACTGCCCCGGCCTGTCAACGCTGGTTGTCGAAAATGCACGGCTCACGACGCTCGACGATTTTGCCCCCGTCACGGTGGCCGACTTCCCGGACACATTGGAGACGCTGTCGCTGCGGCGCTCCTTTTTCCAGGCAGACCAGTTCTTCTCCCTCCTGGCTGTGCGCAACCTAAGTATCCTCGACTTGAGCTTCTGCTGGTGCCTCTCGGACAAGGATATTCCCTTCCTCACGGAACTGCCCAATCTGCGGGAGCTGTACCTTGAGTACTGTGAAGACATCCGTGACACAGGTGTGGCACTCGTCGTGAGCCGTGGGCACAACTTGCGCACACTGGCACTGGACGGTACGCGAATCACCAACGAAGCGATCCGGACGGTGGCCGAGAATGCCCACGGTTTGGAGCGGCTCTACGTCGGCAGCACGGCGGTCACTGACACGGGCGTCTTCCACTTGTGCCAGAGTAGGTTTCTGTCCCTGCGCGAGCTCTGCCTCTTCGGCACCAGGGTGACGGTGGAAGCGATGAAGGCTCTAGCTGAGAGGTTTCCCCAGCTGCTCTGGCTCAACCTGGAGCAGACGCTCATCGGCGTTGGGGACGACCCCTGCAACACAAAGGGGGCACTTCCAGACTGTCAGGTGCTTGTTGCGGGCTTGCCGTTTCACTTGGGTGCGGGATGCAACCACTCAGTTGACCGACTACGACCGCACAAGTAGTCTCCCGTTTGAGACTGTTAAGGGACACAGGCTTGGTCTGCTCTCTGGCTAGGGTGGGCTACTGAAGGTACTTCATTTCTATTTCGCCGCAACTTGTCATATCCACGGGGTCTAGTGGATCCTTGTGGTGGGTCGCATGAGAGTTTCTGATCTGAAGAGAGTCTTATTTATGGTGTGGTTTACAGTCTGTTTGTGTTCGAGTGACATTTGTGTGTGTTGACAGGACTTGCGGTATTTATGGGCAACCTTTCAGCGTCATGATGTTGCGACAGGTGCGCGAGAAGCTGATCGAGTTGCTAGAACCTTTTATGAGACGACGCTATCGCTGGGCGTATTGCTTCGTTTAAAATTTATTGTGCTGTATAGTGAGCAATTCTTAAAATCCTTAGGTGATATTATTCTTAAAGGGATACTTCAACGAAATTTGAAATATTCCCGTCGTGTCCAAAAATAGGTTGAATATGATCCACAATATCCGTAAAAGACAATCGCACGTTTGTATTTTCAGCCTGGTGGCTGTATTTTTCGTTATAAACGGCCCACTCTGGCAAGCGCTCGGAGAAGGCCCAGAGGAGACCACGTGACATCCAACGCAATCGTGACGTAGGTCGTCTCAGGACGAGCAAAGCTATGGCGAGGCTGACGTCAAGAGGATGGCCTAGTCGTTCCAGCCACCGAAGCGGCTGCTTTTGTACGAACTTTGAGTGACGGGTTAATCTTCTATAATCTTGTAAGGGGACAATAGCGACTTCTGCGACACACAAAAGGCATTCCCGGGAAGAGGGGAGTTCCTCCTTCCCCTCTTCTTTCGTCGTGGCCGGAGGCGAGACAACCTCCGTCACTAGCTGTCAAGGTTCCTAGACGAGCATTACAAACGAGGCGTTAGCGACTTTCACCACGTGCTCTCTGCTAATCGTATAATTCGTTTTAAAATTCCTTTTTGTGACTTTTTTAACAAGATATTGGTATGTTCAATGTGATCTGCACCTTTGAACACATATAGACCAAAAAATGAGCGCCGAAATTTCGTTGTAGTATCCCTTTAATATTTTTATTCTATTCAGAAACTTTTCTTCTATTTAGAAACTAAAGATGTGCTTGATTATCATGTCATGTAAGCAACAACAGATGCTTGCCTGAAGCTGGCAAACAATTGTCTTTGTTTTCTCTGTATGCTGCACGACTCAAGTGATGCGGCACATCACAACTTGGAGTTTGCCGAATATTATTTATATTGCTTGTTACTTTTTTTTGTTGCCATTTGACGACTGTGCTGTAAGACTCGTCAAATGGTTTGTGATGAATGCTGGCATCTAGAGTCATGTATTTGGACAGCTGCATTTATGGGCAGAGATCTTGGTAGGTTTTTCAATGCTGTGACAATATGCAATAGTCATCGATAGCCCACCTTTTTTCATAGGAGATGGGGAACTCAGTTCAGCTTTAGAGATGAAGATTGTCTGTGTGGTGTTTTTTTTTTTTTGTCCAACTTCGTTTTACATTATTGAGTTTCCTTTGGACACATTTCATCATTTCTCAGCACCCCCTGGATGCTCATAATGAATGCCACACTATTTGTATACCAAATGACACTTATTTATTATACATTAACCCTTTTGTTTTTTTATATACATATATATATATATATATATATAAACTATATTTCATGCTTGACATGGTGAGATGTTCAGAACAGGAGGGACTCTGAGAGACCGTCATGACTCATCAAGACACCGAATGACAAACACAAGTTTGTCCTGTTACCGGATGCAAGTGGTAGAGTAGTTTCATATTGTTTTCACACTTCTCTAGGCAAGCTTCATGTCTAACCTTTGACCGGTTTTCGTAGGGTACAGAGTGATGCAAACGGTTCGCTTTCATATGTTGAGTTTTTAGCTGGAAAGTGGGTATCCTCTGTAATGTACACTCAGATGCAAAGGACTGCACGCAGCCGTCCTAAACTTGGTTACCGTTGCTAGCAAAGACTGTCCACATAGTGTCTTGCAGCGTCGACCCCACCACAACCATTGCTTGAGAATTGATGCCACATTTACTGGGTGAGGATGTTGGATTGATTTTCAGAAAATGATACTGGCAGCAATTAAAGGAATCGAAGTGAGTGCATACCCTTAGAGCAGCCTTGTTATGTGTTGAGTGCTATGTTCTAAAGCAACAGCACAGTGCATTGGTGCACTAATATATGCAGTTCCTTGTTGAGAGTGTCTGTCACAAAGGCCTAGCCTCGAGAACCCATGAAATTTGTCTACTCCCCCGAAACTGTTCCTTTTTGTTCTGGTGTCATACAGGGTAAGTCTAGGTCGCATGTTTTATACTGTTGTCTTTTCTTTTTGTACTGTTGTAAATGTTTGGGATAGGCTGAAAGTTTAAAGTAACTATGGAGAGCAGTATATATTAGGAAACACTCATAAGTGCATTTTTATTTGCACAAATAACTCAAGTGCAAATAAATTATGGCTGCATCTAATAAAACAGCCTGCGTCCCCAAGGTTCGCAGACATTGTGTTTCAGGCAGTTGTCTCGACAAATAGAAATATTTATTAACAGCAAGCTTCACAGGCAAATCGTGAAAACTGGTTACAGCTGAACAGTCATATGCCCACAGTCTCAGTAATAGGTGCCATGGAACTGATTAGAAAAACATTTAATGAAGGTGTTACTTTGTCATTCCTATATCTTATGAGGCAAACAGGGCTACTCTTGCATTGGGAAAGTTACGTGAATTGTGCAGCACTGTTGCATTCAAACGCTTTCAAGCCCAGCTTTATGGATATGGAGCTTGTAGGAATTTAATGTAACCTTGTGGGGGCGCTCGCGTGCTCAAGCAGAGTGGGGGTGCTGAAAGCAACGTGCCCCCCACATACGAGTGAAGCCAACTCTGCCCAGCAACGAGTTGCCGCTGGGGAGCCGACATGGGCGCCAGATGCAGCGGTTTGGCCTTGCTGCTGCCCGTAGGGAGGTACGACACCCGTAATCCAATTCAACAACAAAAGTGTTTATTACCTGTCGGCTTGCCAGTGGCAACTCTCCGCTGGGCAGAGTTGGCTTCACTCATTAGTGGGGGGCGCAGTGCTTTCAGCGCCTCCACTCTTGAGTGCACGAGCGCCTCCACAACCTCTAGCCTTAGCGTTACTTTACTTGGAGAAAGCAAAAGGTAACCAGCCGTATCCAGAAAAGCACTTTGTCAGTTATTTTGTTTGCTTTCTCTCAAATAATACTTCAGAAAAGTGCCCAGACACTGGAACACTGTATACCGGTTCCGAACTTCGCAGCCACTTATGCAATTGCGTGCCTTTGCAACAACTTAATAATAACTTGCCAAGAGCCAAGTGCTCTTAACTGGTCAATGAGAAAGCAGGTTTGGAGTGCTTAGTACTGAACAAAAAAACATGCAGAGGCATATTCCCACCTTGAACCAGGAAATTCAGGCTTTCCAGATGCCAGATGCTTAGTGAAATTTTGCGACACTGGAGATTTCTGTATGTACAGTGACCTGCGATACGAGCTGGAATGCGCGAACGGCAACCAGGCAGTACAGACTGCATGATACAAATGCTATCTTGGGCTCAGCAGAATTTAGAGACCTGATATGTGGGAGGTGCATCTACAAAGTTTGTCGCTGCTGCTTTCATCCTTCACTCGCTGCCTGCTAGGCTGCAGTCTGTACTGCCTGATCGCTGTATGTGAATTCTAATTCATATCGCAGGCCACTGTACATGAAAGATGTGTGCACCATTTTTCTTATTGGGTTAAAGAGGAAGTCAATGCTTGCTTCTAAGGAGTTTATAATGCAGGCCCTTTCCAGCGATATATAAAGCAAGCCTAGTTGTTTTTAGTTACAAATTCAAACACACCTGAATAACTGACCATTCCTAACTTTCTTGTGAGCTTATGTTTACCATTTGGCAATCTCAAAAGTGCCAGTGTCTGAAAGTAGCTTCAAATTCGTCGGTAGCTACGATGCGAGGAGCAGTTGACATTACGGAGACGTGCCCTGTCTCATAAGTCCATTAAGAGTAGGTTGTATGCAAGGCATACCGTGGACGATGCTTCCCAGTTTAGGGGTCGGTTGTTCGGCATTTCGTTTCTCTTCCTCTTTTCCAGATCTGTTCATACTTGCTGTTGTGCATCCTACTGTGCCATCACTTTTATATAGTAATTGTCTACTGCTTGAATGTGTACAATTAGCTGTGATACCTATAATGCTGACAATAAACACCTGCATCTTGCAAAGGCCCGACTGCGTCCATAGTGTCACATTTGTGTGTGCCAATTTTACTGCGTGAAAACAGACGAGATGTTCCTTGCCTGCGCAGACATCGCTGAGCTGCCATTGTCGAGATGGTGGAAATTTCTTGGCTCGCAGTATCTAGTATTGCTAAAGTACCATACAAAACATTAGCAAAGATGTATGACATGTGCATGTTAGGGCAGCCTAGTCACTAAGTAAACAATGCTTCAGAGTAATGGCACTTCAGCCAATACCACCTAGATGACGAGGCCTGCATGTGACGTCATCGTTAGTGGATCTCGACCTGCCTCAAGTGGCAGACGCGCTGAAGCTCGATGAGGTGCGTTCTAGAATCGCGCTGGTCCTAAGGCACTACTGATGCAAGCTAGACTGTTCTGCTTGGATTCATTAGAGATGAGTTGGTGGGAAAGGCCTTGTCTTCTAGGTGCTATGCGGAGAGAAAGTCGTCTGCTTGTGCAGGAGTAGCAGCGACGTCAGAACTACGCCGAGCTTCAGCCAATACCACCTAGATGACGAGGCCTGCATGTGACGTCATCGTTAGTGGATCTCGACCTGCCTCAAGTGGCAGACGCGCTGAAGCTCGATGAGGTGCGTTCTAGAATCGCGCTGGTCCTAAGGCACTACTGATGCAAGCTAGACTGTTCTGCTTGGATTCATTAGAGATGAGTTGGTGGGAAAGGCCTTGTCTTCTAGGTGCTATGCGGAGAGAAAGTCGTCTGCTTGTGCAGGAGTAGCAGCGACGTCAGAACTACGCCGAGCTCCGATTGGCTTTGATTGAAAAGATAGCGGGTAGACCTGAATGCTAGATGTCTTGAGGTCTATCCACTATTTTTTTTTCAATCGGCCAATGAGCGGTCGGCGTTCTGACATTGCCGCAACCTCTGTGCAAGAAGCAGACGAACTGCGCTCCACATTGCTTCAGCTATCTTGTTGCTTTAAAGCACTTTTGCAAGTTATCTGAAGCTGTACTATCTGGAATCGCAGGAAACATATTTTCTGTGCTCCCGAAATGTTGGAACAGTTCTCAATGGAGCAATACAATACCGATCGAGCTTCCCCTACACTGCAGCCACAAATGGCGGTTATGCGGACCGTGGTGACAGCATCGGGGAGGACACTGTCGTACGTTATCAAATTATGCAATTCTCTGCTCAATTTACTTTTAAAATCTTGCTATATTAAGTGCAAACAAATGCGTGAGAAGCCTCATGTTATTGCCGAAATGTAACATCTTTTCCTGGCACCAAGTGCCTGCAATCAACAATACCATCCGCTCGCAGCTGCTACCATCCCTGTGGTGAACCGGGTTTGTCTGGTAAACGGAGAAAAGTCTGCACTTGCGTTTTCTTTCTTTTCTCGATTTCTACCGCCCGCCACAACCGTCGGCGATGCTGGCCGGTTCCAGTGTTATTTTGTGCCTGAACCGAAACTTGAAAAATCGACAATTGCGGAGGTAGTGGTGCGATCACCGAAGACAGAATACAACAGGAAACCCTGCCCCCCTGCCGCCGCCGCGGTGCACATGACTTTGAAGACTTTATGAGGTTGAGAGGTACCACAAAAATCAAATTTCTTTCGCCGCCTTTACATGAAAACTAGTGCAGGCAAGGAAACACGGTTTGCTTTCTTAATTTAAAGGTGACAAAGACTAACTTCCACAAATATTCGAAACTTTCAGCGATGGTGGTACCACAATGATTGGCTCCACAATAAAGGTGCTTGCACCTCCTTGGCACGAAAAAATAAAGGCCCTAATACTGCTCACATAGAGCAAATCCAGAATTACTTGCACGTCAGAGGTCCAGTCTCACGCTGCTGTTCCAACAAAAATCATCCAGATGACAGCCATTTTGACTGGCTCCCTTTATACGTTGTGAAAGTTGCAAATTCAGCCCAAGTCCAAAAAACGATGCACTGCCACTTTTAAGCATGGCCGCTTTAGTAAATCTACGGCTACCCAAAAAATTTAAAAAAGTTAGATGTTTTGTGCTTAGACAGTGCAAGGTCAGCCTGCTTTTGAGGTCCGTCGACACTGGTTTACGCTGTAAATGAGAAATTTAGCCAGTGCAGTACCACTGCTAGCCTGGGGGTCTTTAAAATGCATCACGCAGTAGTGATACGCGACTGCACACCGATACAATGCTCATCCAGATAGAAGTGGGCAGGGATGAAGATTGAACCCAGGATCTCTGGGTTCAATCTCTACCCAGACACGTTTTGCGAGCTTTCGCTCCGCATACTCCAAGCTGTGGTGCGCTGACACGCTCTGCGTCCGATCCCCCTCTCTAGGGCAGCCTAAAAGGTTCTCATGTGCTACATGTGGCACCGTTTTTCACAAGACGTACCAGGCATTGGGATACGCTCCAGCCTACAAAGCAACCACGTGCAAAAGACAAGAAAGAACCAATGCTGCAATGGTTTACTTCTTTTTTTTTTTTTTTTTACACTCAAATAAAGGATCTAGTTTGCACAAACAACTCAAGATAACTACTTAATGAGACTTGTGAGAAGGATCTTGGAAGAACCTGAGACCACAGTAGCCGCATGCATGGTTGCCAGGAGCATCCTGCACGAGATTGGGTGAGACGACACAAATTAGTACTAGCCTTTCCAAGCACTTTTAGAAAGCTTCTTCATGGGATCGAGCCTGTGAAACTAAATAGCGTCTGTGCAACAAGGTGAGACATACAACATCCAGCACTTTGGCTGCCAACGGTCCTCCCATCTCATAAGCTCTGCAATGAAACTTTTCTTACAGCTTGCATTATTTTGAGGTAGATGGGTCAAGGGGTGTCCACACAGAACATAGCCTGTGCTGTGCACAGTTTTCAAAAATTGTATATGATTCGGCGCGTGGGTATGATTTCAGTGAGGTCATTAACCACGCTGCCGTGCGTGAAACAGCACGATTTTCCTCTTCACCATCGTCTCCTTCCTTCTCGTTTTCAGGAGGTTCGGGACTGACAACAGCAGTGGAGGTCTTGACTGACAGCCAGCAGAGTGGCTGCGTCCTGGGACCTATGTTATGAGCACGCTCCAAGGACTCATGAGCAAACTCCAAGGACCCATGACAAAAATGATCCCAAAGCAGACCAGAAGCAGAGGAAAAACCTCTACTTCCATCCGACAAATGCCGTGGGCAGTCAAGCCATGTCTCATGTGGACAGCCCTTTGTATTGACTAACCTTCAACAGCTGAGGTGTATGAATCTAAATTTTTTATTTATTACAATGTTCTGTGTGCCTGACAAGAAAAAAAAAAAAGCAATTTCCCTAATTCTACTACCTAACTACTGCTTGTGAAATAAACCAAATGCGAAATTGTTCAAACGTCTGGCAACACTGTGCGCTGCCATCTTTGTTGCGTCGACAATCCTCTGCTGTTCGTCAATTTCAGAGATAATATAGTAAGGGTGCAGGCGAGCTGGTGAATGTTAACCATGTTGAATAAACCTAAGGCTGGGCCAGAAATTAACATACACGACGTCTCAACCTCAGTTGAGTTTCAGACGCCGTCCTGTCCTCTGTTCCTTCGACTTGTATGTTCATTTCCACCTAGTCTCAGGTTTATTCAACATGGTTGTCAATTTCGTTGCATTGTCGTAGCAATTGAGGCCTACTGCTCACCGTCATCGATCCTCACCCACACCTGCGGAGCTAAGGGTTAGTATTATTTTACAGCCTTCTTGCGCATGTACGTGCTCGTCGCCCCACCGGTCGTACACTTGGCTCGAAATATGAGTTTGAGTGCCGGCAAAGGCATGGGCGCTGGGTTTTCGAAAGTGCTTTCTCCGTGCGGGTGCTTCTGCGAGCGAAGGACTCTTCAGAACTATGCTTTCGCCAACTGGCCTTTGCCAGTGCCGAAGCCAACTGGTGAGACAAAGCATGTTCTTCGGCACCCCACTAGATGGCGCTGTGCATTTCGAATATGGTCTTTTAGCCTCAATTTATTAATTTTGCAGAATGTATTTGAATTTTCCTCATTTTAGTTTATGCCACTGCTGGCTCGCTGCATGCGCTACGTACTGGTGCCACAAGCACTGCACGATTGCCGCGTAGCGCAACACTATCGAACCCCACTTACTTCCGATTCGCAACTTTTCAGCCTGATCTTGAAATTCAGTTTTGCAATGCTTGCACCCTCCAGTTTTGGTCAACTCAACATTTATTATGTGCTTCGAAAAACATTTTACGTTCCTATAATATTAATATTTTGTAAAACCTCCAATTGACTGACTGCACAATCAAAATTATTCACCACTACATGGTCAAAGAAAGTGTTGCTTTCCTGTAAAAAAGAAATTTGTGCGTCGATTCATGATAATAAAACCTGAGACTCGGGAACACAGAAGGGGACGAACACAACACAACGTCTCAAACACAGCTGAGGGTTTATTTGTCAGACACTCATTTAAAAAGGCGAGCCCCCCGTGCCCCAAACAACATCCACGGTCCCGAAGGTCAAGCTGCTTCCTCCTGTCCAGTCTATCGTCAGCAGCTCTCCTCGCGCACACATATACATGCGCCAGGCGCCGCAGCGTCCATGGGAAAGTCTGCGCAGTTGACTCCAGAGGTCGGCATTTTAGGTCGCCCTCACTCACCCTCACCCTCACAGCCACACTCACCTAAGCTCCTCACTCACCCTCACACTCACAGCTACGCTCACCTTCAGCCCCTCACTCACCCTCACCCTCACAGTTACACTCACCTTCAGCCCTTCACTCACCCTCACTGAACCTCACAGCCCTCACGCACTCACCGCCCTCACGCCCCTCACTCACTCATGGCCCTCACTACCCCCACCGCCCTCACGGCCCTCACGCCACTCACCGCCCTCACGCCCCTCACTCACTCATGGCCCTCACGCCACTCACCGCCCTCACGCCACTCACGGCCCCCACGCCACTCACCGCCTTCACGCCACTCACCGCCCTCACGCCACTCACCGCCCTCACGGCAATTTGCCATCGTCATCATAAAATTTTATTTTTCTTGCACTATTTAGACAAAATTACGTGTTATAAACATGTTTTTATGCATTTAAATCTCATTAAGAATACTAATGCACCTTTCTGAAACAGTTTATTTCCAAAAAACGATTGATTTCAAACCAGAACCAAGTATTTCGGTATCATCATCACCGGCGCGAGGTATCACGTGAAAATTTTGCGTCCCTGATTGGATGCAGCCGCTTCAAACGTATTCGAATTGCTCCGAGTTGCTTGCTTATTTCGAGCCGGACCCTATCTCAGCAATTCGTGTCGATCTAGGGAAAGCTAGAGAACAACCCGCCATTAACACCAAAATTGCTGAGAGAGATGCTCGATCTGAAGGGGGCCTCACGCACTCACCGGACGCACTCATGGCCCTCACACACCTCATGCACTCACCGCCCTCACTCCTCTCATGCCACTCACTGCCCTCACGCACTCACCGCCCTCACACCACTCACGCACTCATGGCCCTCACGCCACTCACCGCCCTCACGGCCCTCATACCCCTTACCGCCCTCAGCGCCCTCATGGCCCTCACGGCCCTCACGGCCCTCATGGCCCCCACGGCCCTCACTCACCCTCACACTCATGAATTTTCCTGGTTCAGAAACTCACTCACCCTCACCTCACCTGTGAAGATGAGGGTGAGTGAGGGTGAGTGAGGGCCCTCATGAGTGAGGTTTGCCGAGGTATGGTTGACTCATCACCCGCCACTGCCACAACCGCTAATCCCCCACTTCCACGCAAAGCTTCCTTGCCCTCCGCCGTTGACTTGTACCTCAGCCTCAGCTGTTTTTGAGACGTTGTGTTGCGTTCGTCCTCTTTCGTGTTCATGAATCTTGGGTTTTATTACCATGAATTACCACCAGCTAGCTTGTTTTTTAAGTATTGTGCATTGGGGAGTCTAGAGCTACTGAAGGCTCCCAGAGCAACATTCTGCAGCATCCGCTCGCAGTGGAGAATCAAGCTTTGTGATTGGCTGATCTTTGGTACTCTAGAAACATTCAGTGGTTCTGGAGACACCCTAGTGTGTGTTTGAATGGCTGCACGGTTCCCATAACGAACATGTTGATTTCTGACAGCTTGATGATGGAATCAAATGCCTTTGCACATGCTGCGAGACATACCAAGTTGATGAAGACCCTCGGGTGACCCAGGGCAGGATCCCCACCATCGCACCACGTGGTACGACCCTGCACTGCCTTGGGCGGGACCTCGGCAATCAGCTTGACTGCGAAGTTGGGATTCACCTGGACGAGTCAAATTGTGGCTTTGCAACCGAGATTCTTGACAAGGTGTTCAAGCCATGCCTTTCAAACTATACTTAGCTCTCAATATGGCTCAACATTTGTGTTGATCAAGAACTAAATATGAGCTTGTCTAAATAGTTTGTTGAAAACAGTAGCCTTCATTCACGCGCAAGAACATCAACCTCAACAGATACCTAAATCATAGATCAACTGCCTGGTATAAGTTATTTTAGACATTCCGATACAAAGTAGTGTACGATAATTGGAGTTAACTGCTTGGAGAAAAACAAAGCGCCAGTTCATTAAGGGAACGGTTAAGAGCAAGGGTACCACACCGGTAGTCACCTGTGCCATAAACATTGGGACTCGCGATACTTGATACAGTATTACCATTTTCTTACCTGCTTCTGACGATCAACGAAGCGAGCCAGTCGATAATCGTCCTTGTCCCATTGCTGAAGGAAAAGCACGAACAGATCCCATCAATACCAATGCACGGTTTGCACGTATACGCTTTCGTGAGCTCGCGTGTATTATGCGAACGTTCGATTATTTTTGCAATCGGTTTGCTTCAAGCATGAAGCTCCAGGCGGTAGGTTGTCTCAACGTCGCGAATCGTGTGGATTTATGTCGCTCGATTTGAATCGACTCACCTGTCCAGTGTGTGTCACGGGGTCCTTGGGCTCCCAGTCTTTTGTCAGGCTCGAGCTCAAACGAGAAATACGCAGGTTTCGTGACAACTGCAGCAATTTTGAAGTATTTCTCATGGACGAAGACATTTCGACCTCAAACTTACGACCTCGCTCTCAGCCGCCGCACACTCCGTCGTCCGTCAACTTCGTGGTCCCTGTCGTTTGACTGGGCATAACAACCACGATCTTCTAACTCCACCGTAATTATTTCACAAAAATCGCTCTAATATTCAAGCATCCGCATAGGTTGGTTAATTTTATTTGTTTTATTATTCTTATAAAGTTGGTTTAGTTTGATTTAATCAATAATTATGAAAAAAAAGAAAGACTAGAGGCGGCCTCTAAAGAAAGTCAACACAGAGTCGACAAGGTATCGACGCTATTCAATCCGTAATTCAATCCAACGAGGTGCAGAGGAGCCTGCGTAGAAGGGTGGTGGAAGGGTCGCGGGTCACGCCGGTGAATTGAAACGCGGAATAGGACCGGAACTCTGGTAAGAATTTGCTATGTGCAGATGTATAAGACGAGACCATTTTGTTATTCACATTTGAATGCGTTCTGCCACCCGCCGTTTATTTATTTTTTAAGGCAAGTTGTGACGAGAAAGCGAGCACTCGGCCGGTCAGTTTATCCCTTTTGAGTAGTACCTTGGAACATCTTCGGAAAGTTAGTCACAGATGCGTGTGTTGAAGAAACCTTAATGTGACTCACGTGCATGTTAAACAACGAAATTATATTTGTACTGTGAGGCTGACCAGTAGGCGCACGCTTGCACGGGCTTTCGCCTTTTGCTCGCAGGTGTTTGCTCGTTCATGTGCAAATATGGGTTATTGTGCACCACATTACAGTTTGAAGGACAAACATGTTATCGCCTTTCGAATTGTAGCGGATGCAAACACACTCGTAAAGCACGGGGTGTCCTCCCAAAGAATTTACAGGGTTTTCTTCGATGCAAAAACAAAATACGGATCGTCGAACGCCTATTCTCCGTGCTAATGCTTCACAGCGCACAAGATCAGACACACTTAAAAAGTAAAATCACACATACACAGGAAGAACACTCACGCAGCGCTGTCAAAGTAAAATTACACATACACAGGAAGAACACTCACGCAGCGCTGTCAGCGCTGCGTGAGTGTTCTTCCTGTGTATGTGTGATTCTACTTTTTAAGTGTGTCTGATCTTGTGCGCTGTGAAGCATTAGCATGAATAACCAACTCGCCCAAGCTGAAGTTCTGACCTATTCTCCGTCCAAAGGTAGCGCCAGAGGTCCGAACGAGATGCCAAAGTTTCAGCCGATACCGACGAAAGGTATAAGTGACTTCATGAAAATTCCAATGGGAAAATGACGGCCGCCGGAGTTCTCGAATTCGCCAGAAGCCGAAAACAGGCGAAAATGGGCCCCATTTTCCCATTGAAATGTTAAGAAAATCGCATAACTTTTGAATGAGATAACGGTTAGTTCTGAAACTTTGGCATATGGTTCGGACCTCTAGCGCTACCTTTGGGCGGAGAATGAGCGTTCGGCGATACATAGTTTATTTTTGCGGTGAAAAAGACCCTGTATGTTTTCTTTTGGACACCCTGTACTATCGCGAACACTATTAGCTGTAACACGGCAGCCCTGGCCATTCTGTACCCTCAGCGCCACGTAGCAGGGGCGCTGTGAATCACCGCGTCTGCCCTGTGTGGTGGAATTGCTCTTCCAGGCTGCGATCACAATCTCCTTGTCTGCTAAGCGCAAAGCAGACGCCGCCACAGCACTTGCCGATGTTTGCTCCACAGGCTTTTGTGGGTGCCCGTTTCGATACGGAGATTCCCTTACTCATGGAAATGAGTCAACCAAACATCTTTTAAGGGAATATACCGAGCTAAGCATAATTAGCACAGCAATTCTGACAAAAGAAAAAAAAAATGTGAATAGGTGTCTGTCCGATTAATAAAAGTAATCTACCGAATGTATACAATGATCAGCAATGATTATGTTTAGCTCAGTATATCCCCTTCGTTGTTTATTCAGCTGACTTGCGTCGTGGGTCAGGGAATCCTAGTAAAGTGGCACCAACAAAAGCCTGTGGAACAAACATCGGCAAGTGCTGTGGCGGCGTCTACTTTGCGCTAAGCAGACGACAAGGAGAGACTGCGATTGTAACCTGAAAGAGTAAAATTCAGCCTCGCAGGGTTTCGGAGTGCACCGCTATGTGGCACCGAGGGTATGAAACGACGGTGATTGCCGTGTTATACCCAATAGCGTCTGCAATAGTACCAATCCATTGCATGCTTGCAGAATACGACGTGTCCTAAATGTACAGTCATGGCTTCTTTTACAGACTGCAGTGAGATCTTACATGCTGCATACTGCCAGCAACAGGCATGGCATCATTGCTCCGGACCGTATGTGCCAGCGTGCTGCGCCCCACGCAACTGATGCGCCCGTCAGAGCTGCAGCAGGTGCGGTCTTTCAGCATCCTCTCCAAAATTAATGTCTGCAATGTCCTGGCCAGCGCGTCCCCGTCAGCCCCGATTCAAATTCCAATGCGAACCTTCAAGGACATGGACGTGCTCACCAAGCGCTGCAAGGATTGCTACTTCAAGAAGGACGACGACCGATGGTACGTCCTATGCAAGACGCACGGCCGCCATAAGCAGAGGCAGCGACTGCCTGACAAGCGGCACTTTTGGATTGTAACGCACAGAACTCATGGACCACGGAAGAATTTCTAAGCCACATGTTGTTGAGGATGTGCTGTTGATTAAAGTGTAGAAAATTGTAATGAACAGCTCTCACAAGTAGTTTGTGTATGCAGCTTGGGCATAGACACAACACTACCTGAAGACAGAATTGTTAATTTGGGCAAATTGTGCATCTGCAACTGTGTACAGGACACCTGCTCTAGTAAAACTCAATGCTTGGACATTGCGAGAATTTCTCCGAGCGTAGTTCAACCCAGTAATCAAAAGATTCCTGGTTTGAGAAGTAAGAAATATCTTGAGGCAAGAAGCATTCCCACAATTTTTAAGTACCAGGTGCTTGGGAGAACCATGTTTTTCCCACTGCAAAAATAAACTACTACCTATACACTGCTAAATGCTCAGTCCCCACCCAAATGTGGTTGGGACCAGAGTTTCAGGACTTGCCATTATCTGATACAAAGTATTTTTGGAAATTTTAAATAACAAAAAGGCAGTCAGTGAAGCCCATTAATGCATGAAGGTAAATGGCATCTGTCACCAGAAACGGGCCCATTTTCTAATGAAAATACCCAAAAACCCCTTGCAACTTTTTAGTCACAATAAAGTTTTTAACCCTTGATATCTGGTCCCAACAGCTAGGGCTACGTTTGGGTGGAGACTGAGTGTTCCGCATGCAATTTATAATGGCGGCGATAATTTTTTTTTCTTCTCCCAAGCACTTGACACATTGGGTACCGCACTGTAAAGACATCAGATGGGTATAAAGTTCAAAACTTAAAAACGAGAAAAAATGCACTGTCATCTGTTGTGTATGTTTATCAGTCCTGGTTTACATAATGCCAGTCATGCAAACTGCTTTACATGCTGCTTCTGCAATGAATTGTGGGCATATGGTTACGAGCGCAACCCATAGATGAAGCATTTTGTGACCTATGTCAGCAGTGGAGACTTGTGAAAAGAAATCGGAGAATAGGAAAGACCATGCACTGCTGCCGTACAGCCAACTCACGGAAAAGTTTAGAATCCAACCTCCCTCCAGCTTGTACTGCTCCAGCAGTACAAGCTGCTCAAACGGGCTTGGAAAACAGATTTACATGGGATTAGGATACGTCATTGATGCAAGATGCAAAATCGCACACCTGCAACAAGTTTTCCTCGGAAGTTTCATGGAAACGTTTTTATTCACAATTCCTAAAAATTTCCTACTAACACCTGTCCACTTGAAGAAGTGCTTGTCCCACATTCTCTAAAGCTGCCTTACATAACAGAGTGCCAGACCTTTATGCACAGCCATTTCTGGTTCTTCCTTTGCAAATCGCCGATCCGAGGACTGCGTCACATACAGCCATTTACAATGTGAAAGACCCACTTAGACCAAAAAGGTGTCCCTTCTCATCACTAAATCTATTGTGTACTAAGTGAAACAATAGTTTTCATCCTGACAGGTTGAGGTTTCAGAAGACTAAAAGCCCAAGCATTGGCCAGCTTGCCAGAGTGAAGGGCACATGCTTTGAAGCATGGTACACACACAGCAGCTTGACAGGTTCTCAAGTTTGCTGAGAATAGTCTAAAAACAAGGAAGACTTGGAAACATGGTCAGCAAAGGATATATTCATTGTCTGCAATACAAATATTTACAGTATTCACACACACCAGCCCTATCATCATAAATTAGAAACAAGAGAAACCCAAGCACACTGACCTAGAGCACACTTAATGGACTGGCTTCACTGTCAACCTCACCATACCAGCACAAACAGTTATGAAAAGGCAAGATGGTGATTATGACACTCCTGCTGGCTTGTTTTGAATGAGTGAACAAGGAGGCCTTGGTTTTTAACTAGGAGTACAAGGACTCCTACGTGTTCAAGGACCAAGGGTCAAGGCAAACAATTTCAGAAACAGTAGAAACTCTGGAACATTTAAACAGATAAATCAGTTTCTTTTTGTTTTTTAGTGCCCTTTGATTATATCTACATTGTGAATGCTCTCCAAAAATATACCTTAAACTTTAGTATGGCTGTTAAAAAATAAGCATGATTAAAAGTCGCACTATGGAGCACCAGCTGATGAAAATCAACACACCAAAAGCAAAGTTGTTCTATTATCTGTTATTTCAATAAGCAATGTTGGTTCAATAGTATTGTGGTTCGAATACCCATACAAATGCAGCAGTGCAAGCATACTGGACCAAGCTGATTGAACAGTCATGGAGTTCCACTTCTACATGAGCAGGACCTAATAGGTAGCTGCATTTAGGATGCACAATTGACATAAAAACATGACTTCAAAAAACCAGTCACCACAAACCAGACATTCTATTCACATGGAAGTAGTTACAGGCATCTGTACAAAGCTGCTTATTGCAACAGTTTATCGAATGAATCTAGTTTGCACCGTTTGGCCTATGCACACTATCTAGAAGTTGCTTTACAAATGCAGGGAACACTGACTTGGATTCAAATGTATAGCACCAAAACAATTTGAGGGTTAAGGAAATGATCAAATGGCAATGACTAGGGATGTGAAAGTTCCATTAGATTGTTGAATTCAGGCGTTTTGCAATCAAATATGGGTAAAACACGAAATGGCTAATAGATCTTTCTTCTGTAAACATGCTCGTCAAAAGACCGGTATAAAACAACCGGTTTGTTGTGAAGTATTTTTATGCTTTAGAGAAAAGGAAGAGGTGTCCCCAGGCAGACAGCCGAAACCGCTGTATTTCACTTCTTTCTTGGCAAATTAATTTATAGCTTCCCTGTGTTTAGGGAAGAAAAATATTGTGGTCACTGAAGAAAAGCATGCAATTGAGAACATTTTCCTACTTTTGGAAATACTGTAAATGACTTATTTTTCGCGATTTAGGTAAAAGCTTAAAATTTGGAATAATTCGTGGGTTCTAATTTTTGCAACGCGGTTGGATCTCAATATAGATTCTAATGTGTTTACATTTTAACGGAACCGTTCACAGGACCCATTTTTTGCGAATTGTAGGCGAGTCCCGAAATTCACGAAAATTGGGTCCTCGTGAAAATTAAGTCGTTTACAATATTCAAGTGGAAATAAATTAAAAAAAACTTGGCTGGTGGCTTTTGCAAACCGACTGCTTGGACACTTGCAAAAAATATGCTGCAAATTTTTTTTTTCGCATGTCTGTGAGCGGTACGTGTACCGTGCTGTACGGTTAGTGAGCGGTGATTATAGTACCATACAGTTATGCAGCTCTCCTCAGCCAGTAAGGTAATTATCCCTATCACTATACTGGCATTTTGCAAGGTAGTAAAAGTGAGTTGTGCCATAGCCTCCTCTCACAAAGCCTGGCAGTTCGATGACGGAGCCATAGAGTGCCCGGTCGCAGATTTGGAGCGCGAGGATCTGGTAGCACAGAGCATTTCTCGGGGCGCCTGTAGCAGTGCACAGCTTTTGCAGTGGCGAGTACCCGAAACATGGCTTTCAAACCCGATGAGAAAAGAAGCGGTAGCGCAAGGAACGTGAGCGGACATTCCGTTGCTCGGGACAAGTGTGTTTCGGCGTCTCGCCGCAGCGGGGTGTCCGTTACATGCCTCTTGTCTGCCGCTCTACCTTTTCACTTTCGGCGGCTGCGTCTCGTGGCGATCTGCCACGCTTTGTCAGTATAGAGGAGGCTATGGTCATGCATTTGTCAAATGCCAAGCACTTTCCATTTCTATTCAAAATTTGTACAAGCCACTGCCATAAAATCTTGTACGAATGCCCTCCCCAAAGAGATCGCCTATCCCGTTTTTCTGGCTAAATATCCACAACATAAAAATACTGAAACATCGCCCACACCCCCAATTTTTATCCGTCATCGCTTGATCTCCGACGGGAATCGCACAATCAACTGCACATCTGCAGTACCAGTACATGCGACAAGCGAGATTGCAGTGGGTTTTTGTCCGCGATCTACATGCGTGATATCAGTTCTTGTGACGTCTGTTCCCATGACGTGAGAGTTTGTAGCGGGCTCCCACGTTTTTTGCCCATGATCTGTGAGCGCGATATCAGTTCCCGTGGCATGCAAGTTTGCGGCAGGTTTCTCCGTGTTTATCGCACCACGATAGGCGAATCTGCTGTGTCCGGAATTTGTGGTATCAGTTCCCGTGCCACATGGTTTGCAGTGGGTACCCCGATGTTGATAATTAATTTTTGATAAGGTTTTGCAGTCTCATCCCCAAAGATAGCCCGCCTCATGTTTTCACCATGTATTCCTTAATTTTGGGTGGGCGTCCTTACGGGAATTTTGCGGTACTGACGCTGTAAGAACTTTTAGTGGAATCGGTCTGACATAGGCCTACACAATTCAAAGAAAGCTGTTTAGACAAACTCCATCTAGCAGGTCAAGCTGTCTACCTACTAATAATAATAAGGAAAGGACCAACTTATATTTTTCTTCTGTAACCCATAAGGACCCTACACAAGTTTGAACATCAAGAAAAACAAGATATACAAAATAACGTAGCTCATTCCTCGATGAGAGCAACCACAACAAAATCTTGAATCGCCATGACCAGCTACACCGCTGTAGAGAGACCAAAATAGAGTCAACAATGCTCAATATTAACACAATTGTGGAACCAGGAATCGCTACCTCCATCGATACAATAAAAACAAAATAGACATTACTAACTCCCTTACGAGAGAGTGTGGCATGGACTCGGGCAAAAGTGCCGCAAACCAAAAACAAGGAAAGTACAGAACTCCAAAATCAGGGCCGCCAGCTCTGGCACCCAATTCAAACTTTTCTTTCCTTTGTCCAATTTTTAAGATCCCAAAACGAAAAAGACAGGGAAGGGGAGCTTGTGGGCAGGGGGTGCCACTACCTGCCCCCAGAAGTGTGCACAGAGTTAATCTTGAGGCCCTCAGGGTCGTCCTCAACGTCCCCTTGCGAGAGTCCTTCGCCACTCAGGTACGCCATGCTGCCATCTTCCTGTTGTTGCACCGTCAGGTAGAATTGGTCCTGTTCTGACGGAGGCCCCAGAAGGGAAGGGCTGCCGCCGTCACCCCCACCGCCCACCACTGAAGGCGGTACCTGCGATGCACAGAGGGAGGAAGGCATAGTTAGAGACGCATATTCACAAGGCCCTCACTACCCACACTCTTGGCTGAGGTTGCAGCACTAACGTATACAGCAGGGATCTCAAACACGCGGCCCGCAGGTAACTGGCTACGAGTCCCGGTCCCCATGTCTAGAACGCTACAAATGGCATGCGCCATAGTGATCGCATCTCGTCGACTCATTTTCACAAGAAAAGTAGCTCTGCTCTTTTAACATATTCACATAGTTTATACTTATCTGTGTTCAATAGTCCTTTGTTTCACTTTATTTTTTTGCTTCCAAGCTTTTTTGGAATGTAGAACTGTTCTGCTACTATAGGCTGTCAGTGCGAGCTATTTGTTGAAGGATGCATCTCGTCTGCGCGAACTTTCGATCAGCCAGAGCAACTGCCAAAAATAAAGATGAGCTAGGGATTCTGGCAGGGTTAGAAATTTGAGGGTTGCAGGTACAGCATGGGCAGAGTCAGCAGTGGGCTTTATTTTATGCGCATCTAGTACATCTCTTCAGAACCTCCCCCCCCCCCCCCCCCCTACCTTCTTGTAGGGACCCCCTCAGCTTACGGGACACTTTAAGCACTGGATTCTGGCCTTCAAAAAAAAAAAAAAAAAAAAAAAAATCATTACTAAAAGACAACTATTTGCTTAGAGTGTTGTAATAAAAATCGTCAGAAAAGCAAGAATTGCCAAATTGACTGATTGTTTTTTTTAGAAACATGTTGGGCTTGGTTAATTCCCGAGTCAAGTGAGCAGCGGGAACGACGCTGTACTACTTACCTTGTTCCATTAAAAATGGAAGCACGTTGGCGGGGTGGCGTCATTTTAATTCTTGTTATCACATCACGTCAGGGCCCAAAGTGATCATAAAACAAATGAAATAGAAAGATTTCACTGGCAAAACTGTGATTTTACAAAAAGCCTAGAGAGTGAGGTCTCTTCTCTTCAAAATTTTCTGACCCCCCTTCCCCCCCCTCTCTCCCCCCGTCTTACATTGGCCCGCAACCTTTCCTGTGTAGGCTGTCTGGCCCCAACACTCGAACTTGACACTACTGGTATACAGGCTGTTTTGCTTTAGACTTTACAGATTTGTTTTAAAAAAGCAGTGAAAGCTACACTAATGCGGTCTGTGCAGGCGAGGTATATGGCCAGGGGAACATCATATAGGGGGCTAGTCATCACGATGAGTAGTATCATTAATTAAAATTTGTTGATTAACTCTTTAATTAGTGAGAGTCACTGAAAACTACTAAGTCACTAAATCAGTGATGGAAGCGGCATTTGACCTTTCATAGCAGGTTTTGTAGCAGGCCCAAATATGTGTTTGGAGCAATCACTGACGCTTTTGGAGCAGATTCCGACATTGCATCTCTTGAAAATGAAAAAAAGGTGACTGCATTGCGGAGTTAATCTTTGGTAGTCATTGAGGGTTTCACTTTGATACTGAAGCATAATAATTATTACCTTTTGTAATAATGCATAGGATGCAAGAGGAACACACAGCTTTGTCTTGAGAAATAAGGCTCAGGTTGAAGTAAATTTCAATTAAATTGAGTAAAAAAAAAAAAAAATGGTCGAAAAATTGTTTATAGCGTTAAACTTGAGTTGAGATCAGCATAGCCAATTTAGCAGTTTTCCGAGTTCAGTAGGAAAAATTGTTAATTGCTCTCTTTTTTTTTAAATTTATTTATTCAGATACCTAAATTGCCCAGTGGGCATTATGTAGGGGGTTACACGAAGTGAATACACATTATACAAAAATATTTCACAGGTGGTGGGAGTTTTAGCGATTTTCAGGTCACGATAGTTTTTTCTGGCAGTCTCATACGTGATCATGTTTACAGTGATCAGTCATAGTAGCTTAAAGGGATTGTCCGGTCGAAAGCGGAAGTACTTAAGTTTTTGCGCTTGTTACGTCGAGGGAGCCGTCATATAGACAAATGTCATTTTTATTTTGATATATGATGTCCTTTTATTAATTAAATATGTCCTGAGCGTATGTACGAAACTGCACCCGGAATTTCGCCAGTGTCAATGGCTGACATCCGTAGCTACTGCGTGACGTCACAAAACGCAAAGGTTTGTTGGGTGGTCGGGTCAACAAGCGTTGGTCAATGGATGTCTTGTATTTTGTTTCGAATTATATAGTCTCCTAGGCTGTATCCCACTGAAATACGTTCCTTTTAACGCAGTTCCCAAGCGTGTGCTACAAAAATTGCGTCTTTTAGCAGGATATTACTCGAAAACAGCCACATGCTTCGAGCAAACTTATGCCGTTTCGCGCAAACACAACTACGATGGCCACCGATCGAAGTAGGAGTGCTTGCAAAGCAAAGGATGCAGATTTTGCCTCTGAAGCGGCACCTAGGTACACGAAACGGCATCTGGGTACACATATCGGCGAATCCCCTGGATCGGTAATGAGGCTGCGGGTCGTTCCCTTGGAGGCGATGTCTGCAGGTCGAAGGCAAACGGTGAATCGTTCAAATGCATGTCGTCACTTGACTTGGACCAGCTTGGTAAATCATAGCCATGCTCCATTTTCACAAGTGGGTCAAACAGAATCGGGCTGGACGCATGCTAAATACAACTTTGTCATCGTTTCCAGATGGCCAAGCAGTTGGTTTCGGTTTCGCCGCATAATCAAACCGATTGATCCGATTTGGGCGAGGAGTGGATGGACATAGTTGAATATCGTTGGCACAGCATCACACCTCAGCTTACGAGCCTTCTGTCCGCTTAGAGCTCAGCTCGTAGCTCTCTTCTGCGAGATGATTGCTGCATAAGCGGGATCTCGATTTTGACGGGAACCCAGTCCCTACACACGGCAACGATCCATTTTGCTCGTCACTGCACGTCTCGCGGAAAAGTGTGGAACGTCACGTCTTGGCTCGCATGTGCTGCCCGGTGGTTGTGGCACCCAACCGCGCAACAAAAATCTCACCCATCCACGAAACAAGTCGAGCGCAACAACAGAATTGAAGCACGCTGCGACGTCCACTCGCAGGCAAACGACGAGACGGAAATGTAGAGACGGCAGAGCTCCAATGTTGCCAACAAAAGCAGCGTTTACGCTAGGATGCGATTGGAGCAGTATAAATTCAATTAGTCGTGCAGAGGGGCACATAAAATTCACATATTGCACGTACGATGCGTCTCGAGGCAATAACAATGATATTCAATTGTTATCTCGAATACAAAATTCGACCGGACAATCCCTTTAATTCCTGTAGTTAGTTAGAGCCATAGTCCTTTAATTCCTGTAGTTAGTTAGAGCCATAGGGTCGCAATTTTTGCTTGCTTTCAGCAAAATTAGTGTCGGTGAAAGTAAAGCTTGTGACGCCACTGATATTTTACAGTGGCAAACCTCGAAAGATGTTTTCACCCGATTTGTGCGTGAATGTATGAGTTTCCTTTTCAAGTCTGGCACATGAAATGGGCCCAGTGAACTATGCACAATAATTCTGAAAACACAGAGGCAATAGGATTCAAAACTTACAAGACTGGATATTAAGAGCCGTAAGCGAAGTTAGGCAAGTTGGATACCTCGGAAAATTTAACTTTTTGCAAAGCATGTTACTTCGGTCACTGAAGCTTTGAACTTATACCAAATATTACTGCACTAAAAAGGGGAACAATGAAGGTATACGTCTGCAGGTACGGCAAGACACCGCACCTGGTAAGAGTGACATCGTCCTGTGCATGGAAGCAGTCTCGGTCAAACAACATAGCTCTCTTTTAAGGGTTCTTCTACTTATAATACTGTTTTTAGACCAATTATAGCAGTAAATTGTGTTAAAAAATCATTCTTGCCCTACACCTGAAATTTAGCAGTTCTAGCATTTTTTCGGGATTCCTACTGCAGGCTTTTGATTTTTGAGTCGGCATCACTGCTGCGGTTTATCGGCGCTGGAACCAGAGTTGAGCCAAAGTTCGCTACTCTTTCGATCAACTGCTGCATAGGAACTACCTTCACCACTTAACTTATTCAAAGATAGGCCCACGGTTTTTTCCCTTTCTGTGCGTAATCCCTGAGCCTATCATGCTAATTAGGGCGCTCCCCGATGCCAGCCGCTGCTCGTAGCACTCCGGCAGTGGCGTAGCTAGAGGGGAGGCTTATGGGGCCTCAGCGCCTCCCGAAATCCAGCCGACCCTATTATATACACATGCATTTAGACCCCCCACTTCCTCCCCTCCGCACACCAAGTCATGGACATCCCAGCCAAATCAGCCCAGCCAACACCTCCTAGAAATAAGGCCGTAGCGCTCTTCTCGTGACGTCGCAAACGAAAGCCATCGGGGGCGCGCGTCGCAGCGAAGGCAACGTGCGTGGATTGACCGTCATAACGCGCTTTTAGTTACATTACATACGTGCGTCTTGTTAGCTGAAATGAAAGCTGCACATAGCAACGGTTCTAAGAAACACTTTATTACATGGGCAAAACATTACACTGCTAAATAATCGGTACGAAATGGCACGAGATATGCGTAGAAGACGTCTATAGAAAAATGTGATTGTTTTAAGTCAAAAACATTGGGTCACGCGATTATTGCTGTAGGAATGCATATTTTATATAGAAATACTTTGACAAAATGACGAGACACGCAGTGATTGGACACAGCAATACAGATCAGTTAAAAATCAGGTAGACGTAGCCAACGCGGACACGGCTCGACAAGTGTCACAATCATGTAAGCGATGTTATCGCGTGCAGTCACTGAATTAAAATTAATCTAATTTCGATCGAATGACAATATGGGGCCGACAAATCGGCTTGCGACGCTCGTATAATCACTCAAAACAGCGAGCTGATTAAATCCCGTATCATTTAATCAAAATATATTAACTTTTCCGTGTGGCAGGGGTACTAAACTTACTATTTACAGTCAACTAATTAACTTCTCCTTATGGGCTCGAGCTGCCCAAGAACAAAATATAAACTATTTTGCATACAATACCTTAAGGGGGGGCCCCCGATGAGTTTTTGGCTTTGGAGCCAAAACTGCAGTTTTGGCTCTAAAGCCAAAAACTGCAGTCTTTTGAAAATGGCGATGGCTGTTGTTTTTCTCAATCTACCAGACTTCTAATTTCATAGATGAATATTTGAGCTGTAAATCAATTTATAATGTCTATGCGGGCTGAATGTAATGTGCGTTGAAGCTGACTCTAAAACATTGTTTTCACAAAACAATTTTTGGACTTGTTGAAAATTTGCAGGAGGGATGTCCCAACATCTAGAGCAGGTAGAAATATAACCTCTACTGAAATATGTAGCTAAATATGTGAAGCATACAATGTTGAGAGCAGATTTTTTAATATAAGTCTAGAAAATTTTGTATTTGATCGTTTGTTTTATTACTTGTTAGCCATGCACTGAGCTCTGAACTGTAAGGTAAAATCACTAATATTGGGTTTATCTTAAAAGTACTTCCAACATTGCATTCTCCACACTTCATAGTATCCAGCCACGTGTTAAAAAGGATATTCTGTTGAGCAGTTTTTTCCCTATCGTTCCTCCAAACAAAGGCAGGCAAGTTTTATTTATCTTGAGGACAATTCTACTGACTGAGAAAATCACCAGATATATGAACAAGCTTGTGCAGTTTCATTTAGTTTGGTCATAAGATAAGAAAAAAAAAAGCTCCAAGACCAGTGTTCCCCCTTAATACAGTTAAGATTTTAGTATAAACGCGGTAAAGGCAATAAAATAACAGTAGCATAAATAAACACATAAGCACAAACAATGCACTTACAATAATCGCACAAACAACGCACTTTCAATAATCACACAAACTTGTTATTTACCTTCCAGTAAAAACGAGAATATTACCACGCATATTTACAAATGCCGACGCAATAGCAAACGGATAACGACGAAGAACAAGTCTCCATTCTATCACGAGATTAAAAAAAAAAAAAATCGACTGCAGCACTTTACTTGCGTTTTACATGACCAAGAAAACCCGTAAATATAAGTTGTTTCTCACCTGTCGATCGTATCTATACGTCCCACAAGATCCATCACGAAAACATTTGAACACAAACTTCAAGAAGTCTCTCTCTGTCGAGAGAGAGGTCATCGTTGACTAGTTGCCACACACGTCACTCAAATTGTAGCAGGACTTGTTTCACGAATCCGTGTAAATGCCGTAGTATCAAGCGAACACAATAAAAAAAAACTACCCGAGACTGCGGTGACGACAAAAAAAAAACGACGGGTAGGAGGATCAAAAGAACCACACACACACACGAGAGCAGTGGCACCAGGACGAGAGGCTTAACATTGACGACCCATCTCTTGCTCGTTTGCGCTCCCTGCGGCGATGACTGGATTTTTTTTTCGGTTCCTTTCCCTCCTGAAATGTCTCAGCGTTCCTTTTCAGACAGTCAGCAGCTCCCACACAACGTAAATTTACCAGAATCGGAGCCCGTATGAGGGAAGAAGATGTCGCATCGGAAATTCGGAGCCGGTTCATTCGAAAAGTGTGGGGAGCTGCGGGACTGTGCGTAGTCCCGCGGTTATGGGGATAATCATAAATATAAAGTTGGTACTTTCAACCTTGGTAACGTGTTGTATATTACGTTTATATTATATATATCATAAATTGTACAAGACTGCGCTTTTAAAACCTATATTAATGTCGGATAAACGCGCACGAACACCACTGCGCCGCTCGAGAAGAAACATTTTTTTCACGTCGATTGAAATTTTCTCACGTAGTTGCGCCATGGCCTTTCTTCCTCCGACATTGTGACGTAACCACTCGATGCGCTACGGCCTTATTTCTAAGAGGTGTTGGCCGAGCCCAGCCCTCCCACCCTCACCCCCCCCCCCCCCCCCCCCCTCCCTTCCTCCCCAGCCACTACACTCCGGTGCAAAGCAGTGAAGCTCCTCCACATGTGTGCACTGGTGGTGGTGAAGGGTGACGCACTCGGCGCAAGTGCAATGGTACACTGTAGCCACGGCATGGAGGCATGTGGCAGACACAATGATTAAGTGATCTCATCGGGAGTAAAAGACCCTGGTTCCGTCTTACCACAGTAGCCGCCATCCCACTACCGAAAAATACTGGGGGAGTGCCCACCCCACTTTCACTGAAAACTGGGTAAATACAGTGGGCGCTTCCGCGGTATTTTATGGTACTTAGCAGATTTTCCTTGCAACTTTCAGCTAGTATATGTATATATGCTAGAGACATTAGATAGGTGTAGCAGGGCCCAAAGGAAATACAAGTTCTGGAGCGAGTGCGAGAGAATGTATGTGTAGTTAACAAAAAGGCTCAAATCTGCTAATGCTAGGCAGGTGAAAAGGTGACAGGTGCCTGGCTCACCTGAATTGTAATAGTCTGAGTGCCGTCTCCTGCCGAGTAAGTGGTTACTCCCGGAGGCAGGTTGGCAGGACCTCCTTCTTGTTGCAAAGCGCTCAGGCAACTGTAGATGAGCTGTGCAGCATTGAGGTTCCCTGGCAGGATGCCTTCCAACTGCTGCAGTGTCCCTGCAGTAACGAGGCACGCCCTAGTCAGCAAAGGCGAGGCACGGTTGCAGGCATTACGAGCCTCACCCTCGGGCAGCTGCAGTGATTGCCCGTCCACAGAAACGCTTGTGGCAGCAACTCCAATGTTGGCTGAGGTTGCCAGGATGCCACGCTTGTGGTCTGACATGTGGTTGGTGAAGTTCTCCTTGCTCACAGAGCGGAAGTTACAAAGGCTACATGCAAACAGGCCCTCCAGACCTGGGTGCTTATTCTTCATGTGCATCTTGTACGAGATGGCCTGCACAGCAGTCATTGGAAGCATAGAAACATCACTAAACAAATAAGGTAGGTAGGCTGGTAGATATCAGAAAACCTGACATGATGACATGAGAGAAAAAAGTAGATGGGCAGTAAAGAGCAAAGCATCTAAAGTATGCACTTTGCTGTAGTTCCTTTTCCTAATCTCAGCCATTACTATCTTTTGTCTTCTTTTTGTGGAAAACTCTTTGTTCCCCGTACGAGGGGCGTCCCAAAAGTTCTCGGCCCGACACAGAGGGAGTGCGAGCACGGACACAACACTTTATTATAGCACATGGACCCTTCTTAAGATTCGCGACACCAAAAATGGCGCATGCGCACAAAACAGTTTTCCTGGGGTGACTGCCAACAGGTGGCAATCCGCACAATCGAGTTAAAATGAAGGAAGTAAAGACACATTCGGTGATTGAATATTTGTCTTGGAAAGGCCCAACTCCGGCAGGCATAGACAAAGACATGGTAGCGACGTAGGCACAGGATGCCCCATCCTACAGCACAATAAGAAAGTGGGCCGCGAAAATTAATTGAGGATGGTGGAGCCTCGAAGACGACCCTGCCTTGGCAGCCCTGCAGAAGTGACTGCACAAGAAAACATAGACCGTGTGCACAATGAAGTAATGACAGATCACAGAGTAAAAATCTGGACCGTTGCACAGGCTAAAGGCATCTCCAAAACCACAGTTCAGTGCATCTTGACCCAACAGCTTGACATGCACAAGGTCTTCGCCAGATGGGTTCCAACATTGCTTTCATGCGACCAAAAACACACCTGCTACAACACATCCAGGGAGAATGTCGAGCAATTCAGGTCATATCCTGCAGACTTCAGTGCCCGATTTGTGACCGAAACTGGGTCCACCACTTTCAACACCCGACAGCAAAGCCAAGTCCAAACAGTGGAAGATTCCTCCTCTCCACAGCCAAAGAAGGCTCGGTCTGTTCCATCAGCAGGCAAGGTGATGGCCAGTTTTGTGGGATTCGGAAGGTGTGCACAGCTCAGCATTACATTTAGAAGGGGCACGGCATCACCGAGAACTTACTACGCAAACCTGATTCATCGCCTCAGGGATGTCACCAAAGACAAACGTCGCAGTATGCTCCGGAAGTGGTGCTGTTCCATCAGGACAATGTGCCCCCACACCGCACTGCTGTGGCGATGGCTGCCATCCACTCCTGCGACCCTTTTCTGTGGTCAACCATCCACCCTACTCGCCAGATCTGGCCTTATCAGACTTCCATCTCTTCCCCCAACTAACAAATAAAATTTTCTGCTGTTCACTTTTTTGATGATGATGTCATTGATGCTGCGACTCGCTTTTTGGAGGGCCAAACTTCTGATTTTTTTGTTTTTTTCAAGGGGATCCAGGCACTGGAGCATCGTTGGGCGAAGTGTGTGGACCTCAAAGAGGACAATGCCGAAAAGTAATGCAAGTTCATTCAGGCTGAGAACTTTTGGGACGGCCCCCGTATATGTAAGAAGGCTTTACACTGATGACATTATGTGGGTAACAGGAGACCTGCAGGGTTCACACAAATAAAGATGCCTTTGACACTCAAACCTGATTGGCTTTATTTATAAACATATGAGAGATATCTAAAGAGGAGTATATAGGAGTCCTATTTGCCTCTTAATCTAGGTCAGGGGTCTCCAAACTTTTTGGCTAAGGGGCCGGATTAGTGTTATGTCGCAGTCTCGAGGGCCAGTAAAAAAAAAGAGTAATCCTAAATGAAGAAAAGCTAAACGAATAAACTTAATATGCATTTAAACACAGAAATTAATGCTGGAATAATTATTACAAAAACACAAGTGAATTAAAACATACGCTTAGATTTGAAATTCAATATTCAAATTATGACATTAGACAAGGTGTTTACAAGACTGGCCAAGAAAACCCATCAGCCATTATTTAAAGTGCATGGGAACTTTGGAACATTTGCAACGTGCAAAAGACTAATTAGAATGATAAAACTAATGCTGATAATATGCAATAGCTGCGATAGAGGACACAAAGCGCAATGTACACGAGAACGCATGGTATTTTAACATAGCTACACAGACATGAAGGGACTAAGAATGGTAATGCTAGCGATGGCAATGTTCAATTAATAATATAGCGAGAGGATCCCCGCTACAATGTCGTTTCTTTTATTTTTCTGGTATCTTAGTTTGCGCATTTGGAGCGCGTCGTGGCGCCATTCTTTTACGCTCACTTTTTTTAACCGCTTAGCAGCGGGTCTGCTAGGGGCGGGCCGCGGGCTGGGCCTCATAGAAAAGACCGCGGACAGCCGCCGCGGGCCAGTGAGAGGACTTGCGTGGGACGGGATTTGGAGACCCCTGATCTAGGTTATTACAGTAGCTTCTTTACACAGGTTCCTTCTATTACTTCATATCTGGCATTAAGCCATCACCCTGTCAAACCCAGTATAACAACATTTGCTAATGTCAGGCAAAACCAAAGATGGGCCATCAGAGGTACAACTAGGTCACAGAACATTCAAATGTGAATTGGACGAGTGACAGTCCAATTTATGAAAACCTCCTCAGCTTGCATTGCACTCACCTGAATGCAGGCGTAGGGGCAGTGGGGGCACTTGTAAGGCTTGGTGCCAGTATGGCGCATCTTGTGGCGCCGCAACGAATTGTGGTCACCTGTGCGGTATTCACATTGGTGGCACGCAAATGGCTTCTCGCCGGTGTGCTGCCGCAGGTGCAGCTGAAGCATGGCCTTGCGGGCTGACATGTGTCCGCAGAAGGAGCATACGTACGGCTTCACCTGCACAAACGACAGCAGGGCTTGCACACAGCATGGAAAAGACTCATTAAACGTTCCCCTTGTACCGAAACACCACTAATATTTTCTAAACCCAAGAGAATCAAATAAACACTACTCCAACAGGGTGCCTAGCTACCAAATTGTTTCTCTCAAACTTGACCTTTCCAGGTTTTCTCTGAATATTTCAATCAAATTCCCTGTCCATTACAAAAATGCAGAGGATGGGGCTGCAGTGGCTGTTCTCGTTCAATCCGGTGGAGGCTTGCGCTGTATAGTGATGTCTTGGGCAACTGCTACTCAGCATGAAGGCTATTCCTGCCACTGCACGCCCCACCCTCCCACTTTGTTACACATCCCTGCACTGAACACATCGGTAATTTCCCCGTCTTAACCAATTTTCCGACGATTTCCTTGACAATTCCCTTACATTTCCAGGTGCTTTGAAATTGCTCACAATTCCAGGTTTTACAGATTGGTAGACACCCTGTCCAGGAACACTGCGTGGCTCAAACAGAAATGCTTTTCACTGTTGGATACATGCAAGCCACCAGTGTGCGCACCTTGCCATGAACTGCCTGGTGGTGTTTGCGAAGGCATTTTGAGTCGGAGAAAGTGCGTTGGCACAAATCGCACGTCTGCTGGCTGTACCAGCGCTTGTGCGGCGTGTTCTTGCGATCCAGGTGCACAACATGGTGGTTGCGCAACTGCGACAACTGCTTGAAGCCCTTCCCACACTGGGCACACGTGAAGTCCCGTTCTTCACTGTGGATGCGTGCATGATTCTCGAGCTTGAAGGTGCTAAACGTTCGGTAGCCACACTGGTTACACCTGCATTTAGAGACACGGACACGCAGGCATCACAAACAGTAGCAATGCTCCGAGAAAAGAAGTAACAATGACCTGAGAGGGCTCTTAGTTTGTCAATGATATGTAGCCACACAAGCATGTCTCATTTATCCAAATTATCTGGTTACAGAGCATTTAAACGAGGCTGTAAATGACACAATTTTCTTTCTGCTAAGCACAAAACCAAAATACTAAAAAAGCTTTCAATTCATACACCAAGAGCGACTCATCAGCTCCTTCCACCTTGAGCAGCACAACCTTCTCTCATCTTACCAGTACAGCTTTAGGCAAGGTCGGAGTTGTGAATCAGCCCTGGCCACTACCATCTACACACTGAGCTCGTTTCTCAATAAACACAACCCGTGAACTTGTTAACTAAACTTTAAACAAGCGTTCGACAAGCTTGATTATGGACTACTTTGCTGCAAGCTATCCAAGGTGGGTGAATCCCGGAGGAAAGCTCACCGGAGAAAAGCTCACCCACTTTTGTGCAGGTCTGGAGAAAAGCTCACCAGTCTTTTGAAAGACCTGGAGAAAAGCTCACCTCAAATTAAATTATTGTGTAAATTGGTCGTTAATAGCAATAATGCTACCAAGGTTTTATGTGCGTCTCACGCAGGCGGTACACTGTGCAACAGAGTTAGCGCTAAGCAATTTTTTGCATTTTACTTAGAGAAGGGGTTGATCAGCGTCAAACTTGTATCGTATAAGTTTGTGCCCCGAATGAACAATTTCCACCGAACTAGAAGTTTTAATAACTACTAAAATGTAAAAAAAAAGGTGGTAATTTGTTTATGTTGACAGGGTCACACAGTATACACACATCACACCAGATCACTCTACTGCGGGCTAAATAAATAAAAAAAAAAAAATCAGATTAAAAAATTATGAATTTATTTTATTCAAATTAGACTAATATCACTGTAGCTAGCATATACTGATTATTCATCACAATATGCATTTCTAAACACTGCTGGTTGTTTGATCAATGTTCCGATCAGTGAAAACAATGCAGAAAAAAATAATTACTGCAATTTTTACAGCGTTTTGTTCATGAAAACCCCACCTCGCCATACTAAAACAAAAACAGTTTCGTTTTTCTTTTCTTGGCAAAAAAGTTGTATTTGCTTTGTTTTTTGTTTTTTTTTGCAATCCGATTTTCTAGCAATACGACATCACTTTCTCAGTTTTCGCTTCTATATTACGTGCTGGTTTCATTACAAAAAGATCTGAGGTAACTGACGAACGACGTCAAAGGTAGAAATAAAGCTCAATGCATCGATTTGCTCCAAAGACCACAGCTTTTTGCTTGCGTTCAGCCCAATATAAATCCTCCTTGTTTGACGATTCTTTGATTTAAGTGTCAAATAAATGGCCACATAAAGAACACCATATAATAAAAAAATAAAAACTAATAAAAACATTTTTTTTTTTTTACCAAGTTTTGATTTAAATCATCCTGGTAAAACCGGTCTGATCTGCATCACGATTTAAGCCATCTTGATTTTCATTCTCCGCCTTGACTGTAGCTCTTGTTCCGCTTTTATGTCAACCCAGTTCGCGCGAGTGTCGCCATATTTAATTCTGACGTAGCCGGAATGGGGGAAATGCGACTTTTTTAAATTTTCCTTTCAAATAAGGTAAGAATTAAAACCACCCCTTCTTAAAGAAATGGTGAAATATGGAGATTTGGCAATGCGGTGTTGGTATACTACATAAAAGGTCTCCAGAAAGTACTTGAGCGGCAGCCCTCTGCACTGATTATACTTCCCCCGTTATTTTTTAAAAATTTGTTTTTTTAAATTAGGGTTTTATCGAAATTATATTTTATTTTTGTCGGGCAACGCCTGACGTGTTACACAATGTTTTTGTTATTTTAAAAATATATTCTCCTATTGAAGTGCAGAATGACCGCAAGTGCATAAAGCGCGGTCCAAACCAACGCATTTTTGTGCGCCCGTAGGTCGTGCGCTTCCCGGATATTGCGTATTTCGTGATGTTGCGCTGATTCCTTGCGCCTTCGGGGCGCGCATAAGAAAGTTGGATGATTTTCTGAACGCGCACAACAACACGCTGTGACGTAGTAGAGCGCTCCTCTCCCACATCCTCTCCAGGCCGGAACTGGTGAGGGCACCAATTCCGGCTCCGCGTTTTTTCACCGTCAAGTGCAGATGCTCTCCGCTCGCCCGAAAGCGCACCGTCCCAACCAACGGGCACGCTTGTGACTCAGAAAGCGCATTGGAAACAGCAAAAACGTCACGAAATATGCAATTTCTGGGAAGCGCACGACTTTCGCGCGCACAAAAATGCATTGATTTGGACCGCGCTTAAGGCATCCCAGCATACTTCAGTTATGTAAACGTATTTCACTCGAGTCAACGCTTAATTCTTAGATTCGTAGGTGAGCCCAAAACGCCGGTGAGCTTTTCTCCGCGTCGGACAGTTTGGCGGTGAGTTTATCTCCGGTAAGCTTTACTCCGCCGCCCAAGGTGGGTATCTCAGGCTGTCTTAAGAAGTGGATTTCAGACTTTTTACAAGATTGTTTCCACAGAGTTGTCTTCCGATGAGCAGTATCAAGCACTAAACGTCTCTTGTCGGGAATTCCCTGAGGAAGTGTCTTGGGACCCACTCTGTTTAACATCTTCAATAATGATGTAACATCTTCCTTGCATTATGCCCCTTCTGTACAGCAATGATCTCACCATTATTCAGCCAGTCAAGCACCCAAAATGACCTAAACTCTGTACACACTTGGTCCAAGGAAAACAAGCTCCCCCTAAATTACAGCAAGTGCTCACCAACCCTCATTACTACATCCAGTAGCCGTGTTACCCGTCAGCACAGTCTCGAGCTGTACGGCACAGCACTCCCTGCTACCAATCGTGAAAGGCTCCTTGGAATTATAATAGATCCTAAATTCAATTTCTCAGCTCACATTGGTGAGGCGACTTCGAGGGCCTGGTGGATGCTTGGTTTTGTGCTTCGGGTGACCTGGGGAGCCGGCACTACTGCTCTGTCGCACCTATACACTGCCGTAGTTCTCCCACACTTGGAGTACTGTGCTGCCGGTTTGGGACCCCTACCAACTCTCGTTAACAGCATCCCTCAAAAGTATGCAGCGATGCACTGCTTATGCGGTTCTAAGGCGGCAGCTGCCCTGGTCTGCCATGCTACCGTTACCTGCCCACACAAGAGCTCTCGAGAATGGTGGGATGGACCTCTCCAACATCGCTCCGGCTCCTACTGCCTCCTCCCGAAGGACTCCGAGCTCCCGCCACTGCAGCATCTTCGCCATACGAGGTCTGGGGATCTACGCCACTATTTGGGCGTAGCGAGTGGCATAGCTAATCCTTCCTAATGAGAACAGTGGGGCTCTGATGCTCACTACCGAAAAACGTGATGGAGTGCCCGCTCCTAAAGCAGGAAGACCTGAAAGCTTGGTGCAAAGAGGCACCACGCTTCCTTCAGGGGCAATGAACACCACCTCCTGTTTCCCATTTCCTTTTCTTGTAAATATTGTTTTCTATTTCTGTTCTTTTTTTTAAAGCTTAGAAGAGGTATATTTGTAGTAGTTATGCCACCATAGGCCTCAGGTACAGGGCAACGGCCTTTCCGTGGTGCTGCAACCGTCCAGGCTTGAATAAAGACACTATTATTATTATTAAATAAACTGTGATGACTCATCTGAAACCAAACTGCACCTTCACAACCAAATGAAGCATCTCGAGTCATGCTTAAAACACTTGTTTTAAGACTACTTTAGCGAGACCAGCCAGTTTGTGCACTTCTGTGGACGCTTGTTTGGATGCGTGCCGTCCCATGCCTTCGACATGCATCAATGTCCAAATTGAGATGACAAATTAGTTTCGCTCAAACAATAAACAAGTGCTGCGCGCTCGATAGGTACGGTCAGGGCTGCACGCACACTGCAGAACTTTACTTGGAGCAGATGTCCAGCAATACAACTAGGTTCATTACAGGCTCGTGTTACCAATTTTAAAATTTATACTCTAAAGCGAATCACCAATTTTAAAATATATGGTTCCTTCCAACATATTGCATTCTAAGTGCAAAAGTATGATACTTGAAAGTGTTCGTCATATCTAGGCAGACCTCCGTTTGTAGCCGCTTGACAGACAATTTGAGCATCACCGTCGGTAATCTGCTCCGCAGCGTACGAAGGCTCCGAAATAGGGTTGAGTGGAGTGCCGCAGGGACCAACGCACCTGTGCAGGTCTAAGTCCAGCATGTGGCTCCTCCACAGGTGCATGGCCAGGCTACGCCAGTGGTCTCGCTGCTCACCACACTCGGGGCACTGGTACAGACGGCCCCCAGGAGTGCCCGCCGGTGCGTGGCAACGCACATGGTATTCGAGGCTTTCCTCAGTTCGGAACCGGTACCCGCAGCTGCGCTCGCCACACCTGCAAATGGTACCACACCAGCCAAGGTCAACAGAGGGTTTTCTGAATAGCCGCAGGAACTCTTTTCCAGTGGAGCTGCAATGCTTTGCTTTGGTTCGCAGTCTAGAGGCCTGTCCACACAGAGCCATGTGTTGTGCATGCACATCTTTCTATGTATACAGATATGACACATTTCAGTCGTTTCTCGTCATTTCCAAACACTTTTTGGCATCTAAGTTTTCCGGAAAATTCACTATTGCCCTGGGAAACAGCTCACAATGGAGGACAATGAATTCTAACTGCCTGACAGATACTTTGTAATCATGTTAAAGTGACTTGACGTGGCTGGAAAATCTCATATCCGTTAGCGTAGAAAGATGTGCAAACGCAATCTGTCTATGGATAGGTGTCAACAGCTCTGCCCTGTAATAAAGTGTTAATTAATTCGTTCATTATTGATACTGCTGACCTCATCCGAGGTTGTAGCACGAACGGCACAGCAACACAATGACATGCGGTATAACGTCAACACTCACGGGTGAAACATTAGTCACATGCAAGAAACAAGTGATTAGTGGAAAGATGTAACACGAAGACGTAAACGTCAAGACATGGCTTGCCACCAAGTTTTCAACTCAGTCATATGGCTGAATCTTGATTCCAATTCATAATCATAGCGGGGAAGAACAAGAAATGAGAATTGAAAATATCCAACTGTGGAAGTGAAGACAAGGAAGTGGTATCGTTTAGGGTGCTGCTGCAGAATGCATAATTATTGACATGTTACCCTCTTATCACACTGTTAAAGTATCATTTCTACTGTGGGTTTCGAAAATAGCGATAGTAAGGAAGTTAGAGATCCAAAAGAAATCAAGTATAAACATTGAGGTTCGATAGCTTGTACTTGCCGGTAAAGTTGTTCCGATGCGTTTTCTTTCTTGGTGCGCTTTTTTTTCGCAGGCGTGGCCAGGTAGTCATCATCCAGAGACTTTGGGGCTCTCACTTTCCGCTTGACCAGACCATCAGCTCCATCCTCCAGGTCTCCTGTTTTTTTTGTTGTTGTTGTTGTTTCTTTAATAAAGGACCCTTAGTGCCCCATTTTTGGGACAATAAAGCCATGCTTTTGCAGTTTTCCTAAATGCCAATATTTCTGAGGCACTTCCGTGGTACCTTCCACATTCATTTTTCTTTTTAATAAAAGGGGGCTGCTTCAGCAACTGCATAAAAAGTAGAGCTATTACAGCAGACTCTCATTAATTCAAACTCCAGGAAGTCACATATTTTAGTTTGAATTATCAGAAATTCATCTAAATATGATACTAGACAACATTATGATTTGTTACATGGATAGCTACACATACAAAGCCGATTTTTGCCAGTTTCCTCTACATAGGCTTAATTATAAGCAAGTACAGGCATAACACATTGGTGAAAGAACTGAACTTTGCCTCTGTGGACGTCCAGAACACCGGGTGCAGACTACAGTCCGTAAAACGCATTTAGTGTTTGTCGGGTATTGCGAGGATAGGGGAATACAGTACACTCATTAATTCAAACTCCAGGAAGCCACAAATTTTGTTTAAATTATTGCAAGTTGGAAATATCAAAAAATCATCTAAATATGATGCAAGATAAAATTATGATATGTCATATGAATGACTACACATACAAAGCAGATATTTAGTGATTTCCTCTCATAGGCCTACCGATCATAAGCAGGTATGCCATACATAAAACATTTGTGAAATGTATGACATAAGTTTATTTATCCCTTAGAAATATTGTTCATTGTGCACTATTTAGACAGCAGATCACAACTCAAAACAAAATTAACTTTGATCATCAGGCCAAGAGGTTGTCTAATGTGAACTATTAAGCAGGGAACACATGAGCAATGAAAACTGGCACCGCGCCGCAGTTTTCATAGCAACTTGCGCGGACACTGTGACGTGGACCTATGCCATGCCGCCACGTCACAGCGTCCGCGCAAGTTACTGTGGAAATGTTTGTGTGGTGCCCGTTTTCGGAGCTCATGTGTGCCTGCTTGAGCCCCGTTGAGTGCGCTTCTCACCGAGCAACGGTGCACTGCAGAGAAGGAACACCCGCAGAAGCACGCTCCGTGGGTGTTGCTTCTCTGCAGCGCACCAGTGCTCAGAAAGAAGCGCACTCAACGGGGCCGCGAGAACAGAAAGTATGTGAATTAAGCGGCTTATAAATACATTAAAAACATAGCGGGACAACCAAAATTTTCAAATCTGTTTGAATTGACCTTAAGTATGAAATATCCGAGTTTGAATTATCGCGAGCCTACTGTACTTCTACATTAGTATGCCATGCCTTGCACACACCAGCTCGGACCACGGAGAATGAAAGCTTGCGCTGGGCAGAACCTAGGGATCCTGGGTTCAATCCCCACCCCTGCCCGTTTCGATATGGATGAGCATCGTACCGGCATGCGGTCGTGTACCACTGCTGCGTGGTGGACATTTTAAAGACCCCAGGCTAGTGGTTGCACTGCACTGGCTAAATTTCTCATCGACAGCTGAGACACCAAATGCCCATTGGGGCAGACTAACTTCTGGCTGTATAAACATACACACAACACAATTACAATTTTTAGCGCACCACATTTTTTCATACATGAAGAAATCGGGTTCAACCCGAGCGTTTTTGCCACAGTTTTGAGGTGCAGCCCCCATGGAGAGTGCGAACCAAAACAGACAATCCGGCCTTTTTCCGAGTCTACGATTCCCACAAGCTACGTTACCTCTCAATTTGTCAAATAGTCCAAAACATGAGATCTCAACTTTACATTCCATTCCTCGTTCGGAACACAACTCTCTCTCTCTCAAAAAAAGTAGCACCAAAGAAATGTTTAAGCTTGTATTTCTTATACATTTACCGCAAACTGCCTCGATAGTGCTGCTCAAACATTTAATGTTTATTACGATAATCAATTAATTATCTTTAACTTCACACATATTCCATCATTCAGATGTTCTCGAGAGGAGTGAAACTTGAACTGGAATACTGTCCGCAATGGTACCCATCAGGCGAAACAGAGTCCGATTAAAAAAAGAAACCTGTTCCAAAAGACGGCAAATGTGTCCCCAACTTGAGGCGTCGCACGAAGCAAAATATTAGAGATTGCTTGGGGGGGCGCTGCTCCAAACTTTTTAAAGCACCCTCTTCATGCCTAGTCAGTGTCGGCACAACTCACCGTCAACAGATTCCAGTGTGCCCGCTAGTGCGGCCATCTCTTGCTTGGGATTGAAGGCCCCTGCACCAGCGTTGGCGCCCGACGCGGTACCGGCGTCTAGGCTGGTCGGTAGGGCCGTGGAACGGGCACGGCCCCGCTTGCGTCCTGAGGGCGCCTTCCTGGGCTCCACGCCAGCGTCTTCGTCAACCTTCAGGTCGTGTGCCTGGACACCCGAGGGAAGTGCAGTCGGGCCTGACCGAGGAGCCACACACGAGGGTCACGTACGCACACCGAGACGCGCCTTGCTGTGTCCCATCGCAATGCATATTGTCACTTCATGGGTGCCTATCTTCCTAAAACCTCCTGCCATCTCTCCGCGTTAAATTAGAAAAGCCAGAGTTCACTTGCTGGTCGCACAAACCCGTCGTTCTCGGGGTGCCGTCCCTGGCATGCCTGGTTCGTGTATATGACAACTTGACTGGGGCAGGTGGATTGATTCAAATGAAGCAGATGCACGACTGCATAATGTGCAATTGGCTGGTTGCAAGCTGCCTGCAGAATGGAAGGGACCTACAGATCATATCTGTTCAAAAACCAGCTTTTTTTTTTTATCGAACATGAGTGGTACATTTTTATTGTGTGCCGAAGCACCGACCCCACTGTCGCAACAAATGGCGAGAAAATGCTGAAACTTGATCTTGGTATGCTTCATGGTGCACATGCCACAAGGGACGGTGTGTCCACCAATGTCAATTCTGTTCCGGTGAACGTAACTGGCATCGTCCAAAACAGAAAGTGGCCTATAACCGATTAAAACTAGGGAAGAAAGGTAGACACAGAAACTATGGTGCACACTATAGCTTCATAGTCATTACAAAAGCCCAAAGTCAATGTGTAGGTACAGCAAGACCGACTGCGGCAGGCACTACCAGAATCAAACTCCAGTCTGTAGTAAACATCTTTGCTCACCTGCCTCAAAAAATACTATCGTCAAGAGTTTTAGCGGGAAGGTCGGAGCACGTGGCCTTCAATACATGCAGCCCTACCTCAAGGTTGCAAAACTACAGAGAGGAGGGCTGCAAGGGTGTGCACGTCGGAGCAAGCGCACACTCTCCACTCTACAGTTTTATTAGCCTCGAGGTAGCTCAGCGTCTAATGAAAACCACAAGCTCTAGCATTCCCGCTCATACCATTCACTCTAGTACAGAGCACGAAAAAGTCAGCCCAAACATGCGAGTCAGCTTAGTTGATTCTGAAGATTCTCCTATGACTGGAAGCATGATTTCAAAACTGCAAGCGCAGTCCAGCGTACCGATAAGCAGCACAAACTAAGGTGACAAAAGTCTGCCGTTCAACACTAACTAGAACAAACAGAATACAAAACACTGTCAACATTGCATTTGGTGCGCTGTGTCGTGCCCTGTACAAGACTGCTTCACACCTCAATCATGTGTTCCTTGCACGCATCCAATGATCCGAATCCTTGACTGCACTGGCCGCAGATGAAGATGTGCCGTTCCTGCGCCGGGCCCAGCTGACCTTCTTCGACGTTGGCCTCGCTGGCCGCGCCAAGGCCAAGCGCTTCGCCGCCAATGCAGGCTGAATTCCTCAGGCTGTTCTCCAAGACGGAGGAGATTTCTACTGCAGGAGGGTCTGCCGATGAGTTCAACGGACGGTCCGTGGGTGGACTGACCAAGGCATCTGCCGCAGGCATTGCTGGAGGGTGTGCTACGGCCGTCACTGGTGGGAGCTCAGGCAAGTGCAGTGGTGCTGGCTCTTCGGGTGGCAGTGTGTTTGTAATCAGACTGCCTGTGAAAAATAAACATGCGAGAAAGGTCAATGTTTACTATTGTGCTAAAACTTTGTTTCACCTTCAAGCGTTAACAAAACGAAGGCTACTGGTGCATGCACATCTCGGGAAGGGGCTCCAGTCTACGAGTCGCGACATATTCCAAAATATGCGCAATTTCTGGCTCCTGGGAGATAAGGGGCATAATGTTAAGAAATAGAAGAAACAATTTAATAAATCACTCTAGCAGCTGCACAAAGAATGAATTGAGGAGATAAAGAGCATACGGTGAAATAGCATAGTCCTGTTTTTTTCGGAAACCTTTTAGATACATGGCAATTTGTGAACTTCACACATTTGCCATCTCATATTGCACAACAATAAATATACTAGGAATATTCCCACACCGAGGTCGGAGACAATCTCTTAAGATAACGTAATAAGGCAGGCGAGCTGGTTAAAGTTAAACATTTCTGAAACCCAAGACGGAGGCTACAAAGGGGGGACAACCAGAAGACGTCGTGTGGTTGTACCCTCTAGCCTCCGTCTTGGGTTTTAGAAATGTTTACAATCTCTTAAATCTTCTTTTTGGAAGATCTCCTTGCTTGAAATGAACAGGCCCTGTCCTAATATACTAGAGGTGTTGAGCCGACCAGGATACAGAGATGTCTTTAAAATAAACACGTTCAGATCCAGATTTTGCGAACTATGAAACAATTCTTTGCATGCCAGGACCTAGATCTGTAGCTTGGCACTAAAACCACCACCACCATGCATACCCGCGACAGGGACTGAAAGCACAACGCACCTGATCTCGCCAGTGTCGTTGTCGGCAGTGCAGCACTGTTCTCCTGAGGAGCAGCTATGTGGCAGCTCCGAAAGTGGGACATAAGTCCCGACCGCCAGGCACACGAGAAACGGCAGAACTTGCACCGATACGTCGTCACCACGTCCATGAAGTCCTCGAGTCGCTCCACATGCCGGACCACCTTGCGAGATGATCGCGGAGGGCGATGAGAAAGGCCAAAGACCATTGTCCAACTAAGAATTCTCGCAACCAGAGGGCAGCGCCCATTGACACTCGTGCAGAGAAACAAATGCGTCACACATCGTTTTGTATGCAATTATAAGTATAAAAACACAATCTACAAGAACTGTTCTTGCAGCTTGCACTCGTAGAAGATACTTCCCTGTCCAAAGTAACTTATTTATTCAAGCATGCAGCACTAGCAGTTGGCACTTACGCGTGCTTCATATCATAGCTTCTTCAAAAGCTATTTCAGAGCTTTTGAAGCAGCTATGATCATTCTAATGCCAATCAGTACTAATATCTTATGCTTCAATTAAAACAAAGCAACATACAATGCCATTAAAAGCCATAACACCTCGAGCCAACTCACAGGTACTGGAGGATCTTCCGCGTCCGACTCATCGCCGTCGGGTGTGACAATGGCAACTGTTGTACCGGCACCTGCCTGAGCCATGTCGTCCAGGGCACTGTTGTCGTCCCTCGTTTCTTTTCCCACCTGCAGGAACATCCTGAAGGGAAGGGGCTCCCCATCTGCATGCGAGATGGAGAGACGCTTGCTGCAGAAACCGATTCCCGAGGATGAAGTTGCTCCGGCACAACCCAAACCTTGGTAAAAGAACGTCTGAAAACGCAGTGCTCATCATAGCAATTAGGTGCCCGCCACTAAGCAGCTAAATCGATGCCAGCTCGCCAGACACGAGAAAGATCTATTTTGTGTACCTCTCCCTTCATCACTATAGTTTTTTTGTAACATCTGTCCTGTTGAATTCTGACATAGCCAAGATTGCCGACTGAAAGGCACCAGAATTAAAGGGGTTCATGCCATTAGTTTTATCTTTTAGCGGAGAAGTAAAGCAGTGCGAAAAAAACGGAGGACAAGAAGGCGAAGTGTACAAACAAAGCACTGGACAAGCGTCACAGATCATCAAGAAACAACCACCACATACCCGCATGTGTCAAACCTACTCAAGAATGCTAACTCTTCGTCAAATAATGTGATAGAAGGCGAACTGACGCACCAGCTTTTTTGCTTCAAAATATAAAAGGCCCATTTTTTGATGATTTGCGATGCTTGTCGATTTGTTTTCTTTCAATAAATCAGTTAATGTCAGTGCTGTTTGTACACTTCACCTTCTTGTCCTCCGCTTTTTTCTTGCGCCATGTTACTTTTCCACTAAAAGATGTACCACTAACTCGCCCAACTTTCCACCATATTACAATTCCATTAGTTCAACTTTTTTCTTGGCTAAACCTTTTTATTGTAGTTATATATAAACTACCATAGAATACCGCGCATCCGCCCATTCCACATTAAGCGCCCATTCCCAAATTTGTAAGAGCAGAGGAAATACGCGCAGTACACTTATATGTAAAAATGACGACCGGACAAGCGCCCATCTCCCATTCTCTCGCGATTATTTCTAAATTTTGAGTGGCGCTTGCCCGGTATTTTACGGTAGTCACTATTTTTTGTTGCCCATCCCGTTACATAGTATTTCAACATGGCAACCGTCACAAGAAAACAATCTATACCAGACTCAGCTGTGAAGCTGCTGCCTCCAGCAGACCAACGGGACAACGCACCATTGAGTATGGGCCCCTCGCTGTCTTCCTGGGCTGACGACGTTACATTGTCGGCCTTGTGCAGCTCCGAAACGGTGTCTGTGTCATCGTCTGGGGCTTCTGAAGCAGCCAGGGCAATCTGCACGTCGTCCCTTTGAAGCAGGGTCCCATCGGGAGATACCTGGAGCAAGACGGGCATGCCGCCGCTACCTTGTACCAGCCCCATGGTCGTGGGGTCTACGTCAATCTCCAGTGTTTGGCCGTCGGCTGTCTTCAGCCGTGTCTGGCCATCTGAAACAGGGCGTCATGCTCATGCCTCGCGAAGTGCAGCGATAAAAGTACAGCCCATAAAGCAACTATGCCTCATGTTAACATTCTGAAGGATTTAATAACAAAGCGGCTCAGCGAAGTGGTACCAGCACGGTTAGTGTGTCGATTGCTCACTTAAACATTTAACTTAAATAAACCACTGAAGTTGGCTGTTAACAGGGCTGCTAGATGTTTAAGATAGTACTGCACATGCACAGCTATTCAAAACCATTCCTCAAACAAGAGATCAATATCCCTATACCATTTCTGACTACCAAATTTAGAAAGGTCTCAGTCCATTCGATAACCTCCGTCTAAAAGTGGCAGTGGCGAGCTTCCAGACAGAGATGAGATCCTTGTGTACATGCATCGTCGTTGCTTTAAGCGTAAACATCACAATCTATATCAGCACCAACTTACAAGGTCCGCCTTTCAATTGCTGCCAAATGGGCGTTCGGGCCAATGTTTGCATCGCTCCCGCCACAGGCGACCAGCACCTCTACGCCAATCACCATACCCTCGAAAACAGGGCACTGCCAAGAGTATGGTACACCCACCAGCCAGCTGTTCCAGGAAAAACTGTGTGGCTTCTGTGGCAGCACTGCTGTCGTCACCCTGGAGCGCCAATGTGGACAGCAGGTTGGTGCCGTCGTGGGACACCATGTGGGACCTGTCGCCAAAGCCGCCCGACACCACGAGCGTGACAGGAACGCCCCCATCAGCACCGGCATAAGATGACACTCCTTCGGAATTGGTCTCGTCCCCGCTCGTCTCTCCAGCGAGGATGCCAGTCAGCTTGGACGTCAGGTCTTCCATCGGACACTATTATCCTCTCATCTTTTCCACTGGGGTGGACAGGGTGCTCTGGCGAGGCAAGATGGAAAGAAATTTCAAACCTTGAACATGTTGGAACCATGTTTGAACAGCAGAATGGACACACAGTCGATAGTCTGACAAGGCAAACATCCCTGCCACTAAAATGTTCCTCAAACAAGTCAAAATTTTGATTTTGAATGACTTTTGCCTACAGTCAGGATATCACTCAACCTAACTAACCTTGAGAAACAAAAGAGAAAGACATGCAAAAAAGACACGCAGACATACCATCTCCGAAACGTTTTAGGGTCATGTTAAGTATCACCAGTTTTCCGGCAGGCTCTCCTCTTTCAGTTATTGCTCATGCATGGTTTACAAGTGTCTGTTCTTTTCCGACAAACCTCCTACCAATGCACAGTAAGGCAGAAAAATAATTTGTTGGCCTAGTTGGTTGAACATTACGAAAATAAAAAGTGCGAAAGGCAAGGACAAGAGGAAGACTACACAGGACAAGCGCTTACTTGCAACTGACGTTTTAATTCGGAGGATGAGGAAGACGAAGGCATAAAAGACCCCAACGTTAAAAGCTACAAATATTTGAGAAAGGAGCAAAAGGATCTGAAAAGACTGAGAATTAAAGAAAGGTAAAAAAGGAAATGAGGAAAAACAAAATTAACAGTAGTAAAAAGGAAAAACAAAATCTAAGAGTGCCCCTAGTGGTCAAGGTACAACCACTTTCTGCATTCAGCAAGCCAGATGACCGATTTCCTCTGATGGTCCTACCACCCCACACCTGAAACTTCTCCGCACTCAAAACAAGGAAAGCCAAGGCGAGTCTGTCACTTTGCTGGAAAATGCGTTGCTTCCTGCACACCTAGCTAAGGTCCTTGAGAAGGGTCCAAAATTCTGTACGATGCCCACATGTTATCTACCATTCATAACATCAGGGCAAAAGTTCCAGAAAATGACAGGCCCTATGCATCGACGACTGCGTTGATGTGTTACTGAGGTTGGGTCCTAATCGTGCAAGCGAAATTAAACTATCAAGCATTGTGGGCCACTTTCATTGCAACAATATAAAACTGTTAATGTCCGACAAAGAGGGAGGATTCGTTATGGCAAGTCAATACATCTACCTAGAAAGGGCAGAGGTGGCCTTGGAGAAAAAAATTTCACAGTCTGCCTGACTTCAAATCAAAACTTGTCAAGGCCAAGGCTCTTCAACTGTGCCACAGGCCCTGGATTTGAACCAACTACTAAAACAAATCATTGCATACAAAGGAACCAATTGGAAGTTTTTTTCACGGCAAAGACCCCAAGGAAGAATACCCTTTTCGTGTAATTGTAACTGAGAAGGGATCTTGGCAGGGTGAAATGTCGCAGTACCTTCTGCGTCATTTGCCTGTCCTCCAACTTGATGACCCCTTCTTGCTATCAAACTCAGTAGTAGTAATTCAGTACCTGAAAGACAATTCACCCCAAACACAATATGGGTTTTCCCCTAGATGTTGAAGACTTATTTTATTCAATACACACAGAGAATTGTTTGACACTGTCAGGTTTTCAAAACACCTGTGGCATACCGGTCGCATCTTTCCTAGAGCTTTTGAACTTTTATTTGTGCTCGACTTTTGTCACGTTCTCAGGAGAGATTTACAGAAAAAAGGAATCTGCATTGGGTCATGCGTAGCTCCCATTTTGTGCAACATTTTTCTTTCAAAGTGTGACAGGGGCATATTCCAGGGTTTGACCTGCTGTCCAGTCGCGCACATATTCAGATATGTTGACGACTATCTTGTGCTCATGACAAAAATACCTGACGCAAACGACATCAACACCATCAAAAACATTTCTCGGTCCGGCCCAAGGACTGAACATCACTTACGGAACTCCGACTAACAACAACCTCCAATTTCTTGATGTGCGACTTGCCTTTCAAAATAACCACATCTGTTAGATGTATTCACCTAGACCTAAAAAAACGAATACTTCAGTATAAATCTACACACTCAAAACTTGTCAAAAGAGGCATTGTCTCTAGTTGTTTCAGCGCTGCCCTGAAAAAGTCTTGCATTCATTCAGCAAGGGAGAGCTTTGACGTGCAAGTATCAAGGCTTAGAGGAGTCATGAAAACGCTTTTCCAACTTTTTTCTGTTTAGCTTTTCTTCTCAACTCATAAATCGCACATTCTACCAAACAGTTCAAGAAGACGGAAATGGGGGAGTCCCCTCTTGCTCGGACTCTTGTTTGTGTACCCGGACACAGCCACTGTCCCCCTAGAAGATTAGCCTGTCGCTCAAAATTCAGACAAAAGTTGCTTTCCCCACCCCGTTCACCCCGAAGCTGACAGTGCTGCGGAAGCTACGTGCTCATTGGGCCAGCCACACTTTTGCCACGTGATCACGCTCTCTCGCGCATACCCACGCATAGAGAATGAGGTCAGGTGATGAAAGGGAGGCGGCTGATTGGTCCGGCAAGCGCATAGCTTCCACCAACCGTCAGCTTAGGGGGGAAGGGAATAAGTGGGATCCGGTGTCGTGTGATGTGCGTTTGGGCCCAGTGACGCGCTGCAGGTGCCCAATGACGCGCTGCGAGGACCGCGGATGTATCACAGTGAAAAGGCAGAGAGCTTACGAAGGGAAGAAGGTATGAAATAGTCCGCTGTGTTTTCAAATTTTCGTACCGAAAGTCAGGCTTTTGAAATTCTACCTTTTTTCTTTTGGCCCACTGAACAAGGTGCTATTGCCCAAAATTCGTTTCATGGGTCCTTTAAGGCGTCACGCTACCCCACCTCCATCCTGTCCGATGTTGTTGAATGTATGATAAAACCGAACAGAACAAGCAAGAGAAGTAGAGAAAAAAGAAGTCGACCGGCGGTCGTCCCTTATATTCATTGTATCTCTTGTAACTTCAAGAGAACTGCCTCCAAATATGACGTGCCGGTTGTGTTTTCAGCCCTTGACAAGCTAAAAAAAACTCTGCTCCAAGGTGAAAACCCTGCGTACAAAGCCCGACGAATGCGGTGTTAGACAATGCCACTAATACGTCAACTGTTGCAGCGGAGTAGTGTATTTGATCCCTGTGGGAAGGTTTATGTGGGACAGTCGGGAAGATGAATCAACGCAAGGCTCAGAGAACATGCGCCATCTCTAAAATCCTCTTCGTCGGGGCATCTCGCTCCACATGTGAGGGACTGTGGATGCGCCCCGCTGCTGTCCAGCTCAAGGATTCTCAGGTGGTGTCCTGATAAGCGAACTCGCGAGATTTTTAAGGGGGAAGTCATTGCGACCAAAGGAGATGCCTGCATCAGTGCTCCATCAGTAACTTTGTCATCAAAAGAATTAGAGTACATGAAATATTTTCCTTAAATCTGCTTTACCTTCCTCTTCCTTTTTAATTTTTTTCACCGTTACTTTAGCCATGCCCACCATTTTCTTTTGTTTTTACTAATTTCCTTTTTTACCTTTCTTTAATTCTCAGCATTTACAGATTCATTCGCTCCTTTCTCATAAATATTTGTAGCTTTTTAACGTTAGGGTCTTTCATGTCTTCGTCATCTTCCAAATTAAAACGTCAGTTGCGAGTAAGCGCTTGTCCTGTGTAGTTTTCCTTTTGAGCTTTTTATTTTTGTAAAGCACAGTAAGGTAACCAGACAAACGCTCGCCAGACAGAAGATCACATCTTTTTTTTTCTTTTGGCTGCCCAGGCAAAACACGGGCTAGGCTAAAAGGCCGGGCTGGGTAAAAGGCCAGTGCGATGGACATTGCACCATTTTTAGGAGAACTGGTACCCCATCCCATGCAATGCAATGGTGTCAACAGATAAGCCTAAGAGGCACAGAAGCAACGATTTGGGACCAAAACTTGGGTCACTGAAACTGAGTGGAGCTGATAAAACCAAGCTTGGTTGACTCGAGGCATGCCGGCACAGTCTGAAAAATATCTGTGAGGGGTTCCAAGTACACAGAGATCTACCAAAACTGCTGGAGGTAGTAGGAGACAGCATTTGCTTCTAAACAATCGATAAATAAACTCGTTTCCATTCCAATCAACAAACCACGTGCCTGTCAGATTTATTGTTGCATCGTAGTGTCAAACACATGCACCTAAGTTGCCCACACTCGTGTTTAGACCAACATGAAATTTTCTCCTGGTGAGCTTTTGTCCGGGATTCGCACAGTAAATGTTGGATCAGTGTTACTATATCTTTCATTTCAGTTTTCTATTGTGTTAAAATTTTTTTTCTTTCTAAAAAAGCAGTAACAGAAAATAAAATAAAAAAATCCTCAAACGTTACTAGGCGTGCCTCTAGCACACATAGTGTGCCCAAAAATGAAGTAGCCCTTATTCGTGAGTGGGGTGCAGGTGGTAAATTAAATTCCCAAATCTGAAGGCTATTTCTTAAAAAAAAAAAAAAAAATATTGACTGCATTAATCACATTATGATACAACTTAAGCGACTACTTATGCAAAGTTTGGGAGAACACATCAATAAACAATTTCTTCGTATGTCAAATCCTCTTGCTCCACGCACTTCCTCCAGACCCAATCACTCTTGTCAACTTTCTTTATAGTAAAAAAAAAAAAAAAAAAAGTTTTCAGAAGTTATTATATTAGACGTGACAATGATATTTCCCGCGCGAACACATTTGAAAACCTATAGTTCTCGCGTTCACCCCGGCATTAATTTTGATGACAATCACATAGCTAAGAAAAGCGAGTTTCGGAGGGTTTTAAATGAGAACCGTAGAACAAGGTGCACATCACACCCACATAAAACCAAAAAGAAAAGGAAAAAAAAAAAAAAAAAACAACTAAACGGGTAAATTGTTATAACACAACAAGGGCGCCAAGGTAGATACTTCTTAATGCACCACACAAATGTGCTTCACTGTGTGTTAACAGATACAGAAGAAACGCCATTTCCCGAAATCGGGGCGGCCAGTTTTGGAAAGCTCGTAATACCCAGACAGGCCACGTTAATCCAAACCAAAAGATTTCTCGTGGGATACGCAAAGGAAATTGCCCACAGAGATACTAAATGCTAGTCACTTCCGTGTGAATGCACGCCGCCACAAACCTAGCGCCCAGCAAGTCGCAGGCAGCACAGAGGTGCAAGGAGTGTAATGCAATGTAGCCATAACGACAAAGTCCGAATTCTAGGCCTAGTCAACGTATTTTCCTACGCTTCTACATGCAGAAAGACTAAACAGCTCAAAGATGTTCTGATTCCCGCAACATCCGACATCTGCATTGACTGGCTATTTATTCAGTACCGCGATTTACTGGCTCCGAATTGCAGCAGACGTCAGCCATGGACACAGAAGTCGAGGTTATGTTCTGAAACACCTATGGTGTGAGGGTATAATACTCTTTTCGCCATGACCGCGCGTCGGCTGATAGCGGGACGTTACAGAAAAAAATATAACGCCATTAAGAGGGTCACGTAGCGTAGATATGTAAAAATTTAATTTACAAAATAATTTCAATCAAGGCATTAAAAAAGGGAAGCGAGATTTTTGTAATGTTACCTGATTGCCGTCGCCGCCATCACTCCTCCACGCAGAAGAGCTCAGCAACGCCAGGAGAGGGCAGGACGGCTCGTACGTAACTTTGTTCTCGCTTACGATGGACTGTAAAGGACGCTACGAGCACTGGAACTAATCCATAGCTCGGGGGTTGTCACGTGCCTTGCCGGTTGGGCGGAGCGACGTGGGGAGCATAAAGTCACGAGACAAGCTACGAACTATGGATTGGTTTGTTGCTCGTTGCGTCCATCGCGGTACACCGTAAAGCGTCGGCATTGGGCAACGTTAGCGTTGGGTGAAACCGGGGTGAAACGGAGAGGCACAGCAGGGCCATGCTAACAGAAAATACTGCCGTCATAATGACGTCATTGTTCTCTAGTAGTTTTAACACCTTTTTTTTATATATATAGTACTACTACTAGCGCTGCTCAAAAAAAAAAAAGAAGAAAATCCGTTTTACCCTTGTTTTACCTTACGTCCGGACGCAGCGGACGCTACGAGCTATCCTAGCCAATCCCGTTCAGTAGACGTTGCCCATGATACGCTTTCCGCGCCATTTCCGCGCCGTGCCCTCTTAAGGCACGTGACGTTCATACGCCATTGGATTGGCTCCGATAGTTCGTGACATCCGCTGCGCTTGGACGTACGGTGGTATAGTTGCGGCTATCGCTGGCTACTGACTTGACTGACTCGTGAGCTAGCTAGTCTGGAGACTGGAAGTCTAAAATGGTCTAAAAGCTGAAGCAGTTGAAGTGTGTTATGGCGCCTGCTGAGAATAGAACTGATTGACGAACTGTCTTTACAGGAAAGGATTTGACTGCTTCCAAAGGTGGTCTCAAAATGAATGACAAAAACTCTGAGGAATCTGATTTGCGGGATTCTTCGCCCCGGTGAGTATTCGTTTCTCACTTGTTCAATCCAGTCTCCATTGCTCCGTGGATGTTCACCGGCGTCTCGTCGTGTTCGTACCACGGCTCGTACGGCGTATTTTAAACGTTGGTTGCCCATTTTTCCTCCTGGATTTTAACCACCTTCGGTAAATCGGTGACAAAACACTTCACCTTCAGTGGCTGAAGTAACGGTACAAGAGCCAACACGGCGATCATGCCTGGTGCTGAAGCCTCGAACTGATCGAAGTCAGTAACTGTCATAACTATTACAGAGTAAAGAAGCGAACAGTAATGTATAAAAATTGCTCATCCTGCGTCGGTACGTAGCTGATGAAAAGACGGCTGCTCATTGTTTGACTGATCACTCAGACCCCAAGAGAAAGCCTCGCCCTAGCAGATACACACTGTAGACACTACTTGTGGCCACATTTTGCCATTCACTTGGGAAGCACGTCAGATCAAGATAAATAAGCGCAAAGTGCTTGAGGACTCATAACTGATCTGCCATATTTGTGTCTTGCTCGTAATCAATCCGCACCGTTCTTACACTTCCATCTTCCACACAACTATAAAGGCTATTTCTGATTCGAAACTTAAAGGGGCCTTGAAGGAACTGATCTGCCATATTTGTGTCTTGCTCGTAATCAATCCAAACCGTTCTTACACTTCCATCTTCCACACAACTATAAAGGCTATTTCTGATTCGAAACTTAAAGGGGCCTTGAAGGAACTGATCTGCCATATTTGTGTCTTGCTCGTAATCAATCCGCACCGTTTTTACACTTCCATCTCCCACACAACTATAAAGGCTATTTCTGATTCGAAACTTAAAGGGGCCTTGCAAGGACTTTTTTTACTGGTTTCTAATTTGTACCAAACCTGAGCGCACTGAACGTAGTAACTTAATGAAGCTTTTCTTTTCTCGAATTTCGCTTTATTTTAAAAGTTATAGGCAAATTAAAATTACAAAAACAAGCAAGAAATAACCTCCTTCATGACGTCCTTGGTTGCTTGAGTGGGCGTGAACTAGAGCAGGGGTAGTGAGCTCAGCGAGCACTCACGGCTGCCGCACTCCGTGTCGACGGCTCGAAAGGGCGCCACTAAAGTATTTTCTGGATGGGCTGTATGAAGCGGGCAGCCAGGGCGGCTCGCATTGCATTTGCTGCGCGATTAAATACTAATTCGGCATGACACTTCATTGGCCACAAACGACGGCAAACACAAGTTCAGAACGGGAGCCACTTCGTGCTGCCGTATTGCCAAAGGGCCAAACCGCAAGCCAAAGGTGCTCGCCCAAGGCCTTCGGAACGCTCGAACCCGGTCGGATCCTCGACTGAAGCGCCGCCGCGTAGATCCGGGACCTTTCTACGCTCGCCGTTCGTCGGTGCCTGATCCCACTACACCTTTCTAGTATGCGCCGCCTTTTTCACCGCTTGGCGGCGGGGGTCATTTCTTGTTTCCGCACTTTATGAACTGCATTTGTTTCTTTTCTAATTTAAAATACTGAACAAAAGCTACTTTTATAAATAATTGAAACGGCTCGCACCAGTTATATTTTGTATTTCGACTAAAAAGAAGCTTTTAGCGGCTCTGACCTATAGTAAGCCCAGGACCTAAGATGTCACATTTCACGCGCTTTCGGCATCGCGAATCGCCCCCGTAGGTAGAGGAGGTTTCCGCGTTGTCCGGTTAAAACATGACGCACTGATATTTAGTTACTCTCTCCGTGCCTGCTGGCTTGCCCGAACCCCAAGAGACGTGAAAACCGCAAAAAAGGTAGACGCTTAAATATGATTGCAGGGCCCCTTTAAACTTGGAACTCTAACCACACATTAAAGGAAGCAAAGATCCCGACGTCTCGGGGCCAACTCGGCCCCTTGATCACGGGCAACTATTTTTGTCCCACGGAACGGCCTGCCCTTGATTTTTTTTAAATGTGGTTAGGGTTCCAAGTTTTAAATCAATCCTAACAAGACGGATATCCGTCAAAAATGTTTACATTTAAGTCTCTTTCTGATTCGGAGTGTCCAGAGTTCCATCCAGACGGAGCAGTAGCAGACGCAGTAGAATTCCGTCCAGATGGAACGAGAGCAGGCCCAGTAGGGTTCCGTCCAGACCAAACGACAGCAAGCCTCGTAAAGCCCCGTTTGTTCCATCCAGAGGGCCCAGTAGAGAGTATTGTTCCTTTTCGTGTATAAGCTAGAGGAACAATAACAAGCTCAGGGTCAGTTTTTGGGTTGCCAAGGGTGTTTTGTCTTGTGATTATTTACAAGGTGGAGTCACGATACCAGGTTCTTCTTATGCGAACCTAATTTTCAAAATTATGTGCTGCAATCAAGGAGAAACATTGCGGGAAGGGGAGACAGGGAGTGCTTCTTCATTATGACAATGCACCCAGCCTCAAGTCTTCCATTAGAATGGTTTTCATTCCTAAATAAAGCTTTGAAAATGATATCCACTGCATTAACTCTATCTGGCTCTCAGTAACAACAAACTCCTTAAAAAAAAAACATGAAAGAAGCACCTGCATGGGAAGATATTTTTAATGGTTATATGAGGTAATACAGGCCGGAGGTGGGGGGTTTGCAGAGGTTGGACAAACTGTTATCCAGGAAGCGGTAAAAATGTTATAGGATTGCTGGGACAAGTAAATTTAACTAAAAAATTTAAAATGAACATAGGAACATTGCCAGTTGTTACTCCGGAAATGGGTCAGGGGTGGAGCATATAGGGATCAACCCTCGTGTTTGCTGGACGGAGCTTCAGTGGCGCGTTTCTCTTCCGTCTGGACGGAACTTTAGCGGCGGCTATAGTTCCCTCTGGACAGAACTCTAGTGGCGACTGTCATTCCATCTGGATGGAACCCTACAGGGTTTGCCAACTTTCCGTCTGGACAGAACTGTAGTGGTTCCGTCTGGACGGAACTCTAGCCACAGACTTTCTGCTTTTACTCTTCTTTTTTTAGCAACTCTCTACAACATGAAGACGAGGGCAACACAAAGGCTGACACCAACAATCAGGTGAGCTCAATATGTTTACTAGTAGTTTTTTCTCATTAAGCTAATGTTGGATTATTTTTTTAGGGTTTTGTGTAGCATTTCGTCTGTCAATGTTATATCTGTTTTTTTTTTGTTTTCGTTGTAGTTTTTGTGCTTGTCTAGTAGTTAGAGATCATTAGCTTATCCAGGTTTTCTCAATCTACCTATCACCTTTGCTATTTTTTATTTTTGGCAGTGGCTACAATGTGATTAGGCTAAGGGAAGCTCTAGCGACTGTTTGCATTTTCAGCCACAATCTAGTGCTGTGACGGACGAGTTGTGCTTTCATTCTTGCGTCTTCTCCACAACCATATCCTGTTCTATATGTTTTTTAATCATTGCAGCCTTGTTTCACATCAAGGACTGAAGTTTTTAGTTTTCTCATGCATAATAGGATGATGTGTTGGTGAGACCAAGACTGAGTGACTCCCCAGATAATCACAACTGATGAAGAATGCTTTACTTTCTTCAGGTGGATGGTCTCGATAAATTGCCCAGCAATGACATATTTTTTATTGACAAGAAAGGCGGTGAAACACAAGAACAACCATCCATGTATCCTTTCTGATCAGCCTTTCAGCAAGGGTTAGCCTTCTACTTCAAAATGCTCTGCTGGTGTTTTTGATTCTTCCATTGGTTGGTTTTCTTATGTGACCTCTGTAGCTACACAACTGACTATGTGTATGAGGAACCAGCGTCGGAATCGACTGAGGAGGCACAACCAGGGTAAGCACTTGCAGATCATCTCAAATAACGGAAGTAAGCCCATCTTTCATAATGGAATGAAGTGCAAGCTTAGTTTTTGGGTTGACATTTTAATTTTCTTTGTTGCAACGTTCCGTAGTGATTCTCGTGAGTTTTCACAAAACTAGTTGAAAGTGGAAAATTCATCTCGTCGCTTAGAAGTGTTGGCTATGTTTTTAGTGACCTGTAGCTTCACTATTGTCGTTTTTGTTATTACTCCTTTATTTCACAGCTGCAACTAAACAGCTGGAATTATATGTACTTGTTTAATCCCAATTTACCTTGAGCGGACTGCAGCCTATACAGTTATGTGATTTCTAAGAGTAACTTTGGCAACACTGCATTTCAGGATGGAGTGTTTCAACTGTGGAGGCAACCATCATGTTAGTGACTGCACCAAAGCACTGGATTCAGCCCGGATCTCACGGAAGAGAAAGGAAATGGCAAGAAATGCTTCTTCCAAAAAAATGTAAGTGGCATATGGTAGAACGTTGGGTGCTGCTAGGAGTCAACCAATCATTAGGGGCTGCGCTGTCATGCAATGTACTCATTTCAAATTTCTGCAGTTTCGTTCAAAATACAGTTATGGCGCAAACAAATTACGGTGATTGCGACACCACGCTGGGTCTGACTCAACAGTTAGTCACTATTTTTACAATGTGCATCTTGCAAGTGGTACTGCTGAGGGTTCCACCCATTGAGTGACAAATTTCAGCTTGCAAGACAATCAACAACATAAAAAATGCATCACATCTTTGATGTAAACAGTAAAACCATCCTCTTGTTGGCTCTATCGCATGTTCTCCGTTAGACGAATGCATTCCAGTGACTTGGTGCATGAGAAACTTTGGTGACCATTTTAACGAACATTTTGTCATAATTGCTTTGCAATATTGGCAATGGTCTTTCTAAATGATGTTTGATCAAACTTTTAAAAGCTTTCATTGATGCAGAGGCTAGTTAAATGTTGGCTGTTTTTTTATTGCTATTGTTTATTTGCAGGTAAAGTTTTATGCTATGTTGGTAGCTCATTTTCTAGAATATAATTCTTTGATACCTGCAAATTTAATTTTTAATAAAAAAAAACAAAAAACACCTGACATTGTGAACGTGCAAGTCGACTATAGGATTGTACCTTTGAAGCCGACGAGCCAATCAAACAGCGTTGAAAGTACAACGTCACTGCGCTCATCAGCTTTTTAGAAACGTTTCCACCATTCTGAAGAATCATTGGCGAAAGTAAAAGCTTTCTCTTAGCGATGCGAACACATAACAGGCTATCTCATGTAGGAAAAAGTGCCAATCAATATTAATAAATTGTAGTCGCACCCTGTCTTCCAACGTAACAAAGAAGACAATATGAAATACAATCTCTGGTACCACATTGACAAAAAGTTCTAGACAAAAGCTTTTTGGTATTTCTTATTAAATATAAATGTGGCATATGCTTATACAGTCGAATCCCATTAATTCAAACTGGGAGGGGGGGGGGGGGGACGGACCAAACATCTGTTTGAATAAAGCAAAGTTTGAATTATCGGGAGTTTCCTCCCATAGAGACGCATAGGATGGGACCTGCATGTTGTGAATCAAGAAAGTTTTAATTAATGAGATTTGACTGTAATTTAACTTTTTATTTGTTTAGAAACAATAATTAATCATTCTAGCTTTAGAGCTCACTTTTTTAAAGGTGATACGCCAAAAAAAGTTTTTAGCTTATGAGCAAAGAATGGGAGCCAGGGGAAAACGTAAAGCAGTAACGAGCAAGTATGCATGAAAATACTGGGAATAGAGCAAACCTAGACAAAACGAAGAACCATACACCGCTGCACCACCACACGTACGCACACGCGGACAAACATTGTGAAACACGCGCTCCTATTTAGCTGATCTCAACACACCGGCACAATAAATAAACACGCACCAGAAATTCTAAACCATGTATGCTCAACGCTGTTCAGACGCGCCCAAGGTGCATATCAGAGCTCTCCACTTTGCGATGAAACCCAGACGATGCATGTGAACAACAACACTCGCTACGAGACTCTACTCTGTTCCAGACAAGTACGACCTAAGCCGGTGCTACAATCGGTTTGAGTCAATCAAGCAGTGCCAAAAGTGTGTCTCCACGGAGCTCGTCTTCTTTGTGTGTTTGCTTTCACCGGTTAAAGGAATCACTCACCGGGACAATCGTAGGATCACGGTGCCTTCACTGTGTGTGATTCGTGCAGCCGGTGATAGCACGAAGACAATGAGCGCCGTGACGACGCTAGCAGTCGTACTGCACTTGCTCTCGTCTAGAGCGAGGCACACCCATTTAGACTGGTTCATTTCCCGCCGTCTAAACAAACGCACAACACAATTACTTAAAAAAATTAAGGATCGATTAAAGAGTCAGTTCCGCTTCCCACTTTTCTCTTGCACGCCTTTTCCTTATGAGCGCATGACAGATTATTTTTGGTAGTTGTATTAACGCATTCATGTTTTAATTTTCGTAGTGCATAGAAGCTTGGCATTGCCCGTGCTTGCACAAGCAGAGGAAGTTGCTTCTCACTCTGGGTTGTGAAAAAATTCTACCAGGTGGCAATATCCAAACTTCTCGCCACGAATAGCAGTGTGGAGGAGAGGCGACGAAAGGGATCGTGCTCCGATGCCAGCGCGCCGAAGAAAACAACGGTTTTGCACAAACAATATATTAAGTTTTCTTGTTTTTTTTCTTGTATTTTGCCAAAAGTTTAAAAAGCTGCCCTCAAAAAAAAAAAAAAAAAAATTAGGGGGGCATACACCCTTTTCTCCCCCCTCCTTAGGGGGTGGGTGGGGAAATCACTGCCCGCCCCCCTACCCCCACTTGCATGGGGTCCCCCATCACTTCGGCAGGTCCCCAAGGGGTCCCCGACACATCCATGTGTGCGTACCGCTGCCCTAGGGAATGCCTGGTACTACTTTTGCAACAGTTAAATGTTTTGTATAACCGGTTTCTTTATGATGCTTCGCTGACATGTCAGTTCCCTTCGATTGACTGGGAACCTCTACTAAATTAAGCCTTTCCTCTAGGAGATACTTTGAGCACGAAATGATGAGCAAGCGTTATCAACCTGGGAAATATAGGTGAGCATTCAGTAAGATTTTATTGTGGTTAGTTCAAATTCTGAAATACTATTTTCTGGGTGTTTAGGAAACCTGCTGGACTTACATAGTTTTAAGATGAATTATTGATGATGGATGTGGGTTTTGCTTTGCTTTATGCTGCAATTGCATGCCTGTAAAGTTAATTAAGATAATAGGTGATTTTGTTGCCTCATTAGGGTTGCTCCTTTTTTTTTTCTATTTCCAATATTGCTCTGTTGTTTGTCTTTTTATTACAGTCAAACCCAACTATATCGAACCCGTTTACATCGAATCATTCCTTATATCGAACAATTTTTGTGCACAGTAATGTTACAATGATATTATATAGCAAAAACTGTGGTTACATTGAACAAAAATAGCAGCCACTACTGATATATCGAACTGCCAAGAGCGCCGTTTTGCTCTGCAAGCTGGCTTTCCCCCAATGCGAGCTGTCGCATTGGGGGAAAAGCCGGCTTGCAGAGCACACTGGCTCTTTTTTTTTTTTTTTTCGAACAACCGCAACAACTGCCTAGGAAAAAAAAAAGAAAAAAGGAAGAGGAATATGCAGAGGGAGTGGGGAGAGGGTGCTCCGTCAACACCACCTAGAGCTGAAGCAACACAACATAAAGCTGAAGGCCGCAGCAATCCTCTGGTGACGTCACACGAGTCAGCTGGCGAGCGCCGCGGAAAAGCGCTGCACTGAAGGAATCACGCATAGATTTACCGACGTAGTATGGCATTCTTATTGACCCAAACGTTTGTTAATCGGTAAAACAGGATTTATAAATATCTCTATGACTGGGAAACATAATTTGTTACACGGGTAGCATATTAGGACGTACAATTATTGTTAGGATATGAAAGAACAAGGTTATTGACGTTTCGAGAGAGATGGGTTTTCGTTTTATGCATCCAAATCTTGGGTGCTTTAATTATTTCTAGGGGTGAGAAGACGCAAACAGACAAAAAATAAATGCCTTGAAACGTTATTGTAAGAAGTGATGGGACCTGCCATAATGCATAACAGCAACATCAAGTAGGTGATGCTTGCACATGCATGGTTACTTAACTCGTATGTGGAACTAATGAAAAGAAGATTATTAAAAAAGTGTGGACTTTTAAAGCACGAAAAAATGTAATGTGTTGAAATGTATTTTTTTTTACCAGAAGTAAACAGATGATAATAAAAACAAAAACAAAACAGCAGGTGGGCTGGGGAATGTTTATCATGAGGTAATTAATTCGAGACGGACACGAAGACGAAAAATTAAATGCAGAAAAGACAAAAAAGAGGGAAAGACACCGCCTAGACCGAAGTGCACAAGTTTTGATTTAACCGAGTGCGGGCACTTAGCAAACTTAAAGCATAATTTTCAGTGAGAAACACATGCAGCTGTGGGAGCTTCATGCACAGATCTAGCTACGTTCATTCACACTACGAATAATGCTGTGAATATAAGTTCTTTCACCTTTGAAAGCTTCAAATTGTATCTTCTCATGTATCTATACTTTCTTCTTGTATACATCTTGACACAATTCAAACACAAGCAACTTAGGTGCCGTTCTGCAGCTTTCGTGACACTAATACACAGCACATGTACGGCATGTAGACTTTATTGCCGCACATGTGCTGTGTAACCGATATCGCGCGCAAAAATCCTTTAACCGGTATTGCATGCAAAAGTCAAAGGCAAAAAAAAAAAAAAAAATGCGGGCATGAATTTGGAATTTACATGTCTTGTGAAGGGATACCCCGCATAGTATGGATGCTGCAGATTTGCATGTCACGGTGCGAAAAGCATGAGGGTACCCGCAACGAGCCCGCTTGTCGCGTACCTATACCGCAAATCACGCAATAAATAAAATTAAAACAACAAACAAAAAAAAACAAACAGGATGTGCCATTTTTGGGGGGCGGGCGTTTGTACGGGACTATACGGCGATTTAGTGTGTGTGTGTCGTATTTCGAATACACTCGGTCATGCTCAGTGCCACTGTGCAAAAAAGAAGATTCAATGAATGACGAAACAATGCATTGTTTCATCGTTTGTCAGAGTTCTGATGAGTACTCTGACAAAGCGACCTCTGCATGTGCCATTTCTGGAGATCAGGCTTAAACGCTGTTGACACGACCACATAGGTATGGTGGTTTCATAGCAATAGGGCCTTTTAGAAAACCGCATACCGCGCACTACTGGAGCCTCTGAAGCATGCTTTTAAGCGCGCGCCCCGCAGTCACAGTATCACTCGGGCGCCCGCTTAAAAGCATGCTTCAAAGGCTCCGGTAGTGCGCGGTATGCGACAACGGTTTGCTAAAAGTCCCTATTTTTTTTCAGAATTGCCTAAACAAACAGTACATGGTAAACCACTGTGGCCAATAAAAAAAGAGTTCTTCAATAAATAAAGCTTTAAAAAAAACAAAAAACTTATTTGGTTAGTTTTGGCACAACATGTGCGCTTGGGAGCAGGATGGCGCAGCAAAAGTGGATTGGCGCACAATGGCGCAATTGGCGCAGCGCTTCCACCCCTGTATCAGACTGAATCTTTACCCACAGGACATAGTTCAGCCCGAGTTCAGTGAAGCAATATTCGGTGATCTCCTCAACGGCACAGGTTGTTTGACGGAGTGCTCCGTGAGTCTCCTTGGTTAGCGCGCCACTGGCAAGGTTCTCGCTCTCACATACGTCCAGCCAGGCATCCAGCCAGTCCAAAAGACTGCACAAAAAATGCACCTTGTGATCGTCCTCTGCAGAAGTCACTGGTTCTTGAAAGTTGTCTCTGAGTCGCGTTCCTTTGTTCGGCGTCTTCATATTTACAATTTTCCACCACTTGACTATGATTTCAATAAAACTTGCAGTTCCTTTGAAGCACTTTAGGCCTTTCTTCTCTCTGATGAAACAAAGGGCCAGGGGTAGAGAGTCATGGAAGATCTGCAAAGGAAGCTTCAAATTTTGTCTCTCAATGTTTGATGGGTTAAGGGCTTTTCTTGAGAGAACTGGTCACATTCTGGGTTGAAAACCTTTCTGATGGTTGTAAAAGATGCAGAGAGCATAGACCATACACCTATCAGCCCAGCCTGCAGCTCAGGAAAGTAGAAGCAAACTCTGTCATTCTTCTGGTTGAGCCAATTGTTGCATATGCATTTGAGGAGGTGCACTGGGTCTATCACAAAAGACAGTGGCCTGTGAGGATCACAAGGGTGTGGATAGGTGAAATCCTTTTTTTTTTTTTTGCCTTCGTGGTGTTTTACATTTAATAGAAAGTAGGACATTGCTTTTCTGTTCAAAGAGTTGTTGTCGGTTACAACGCAAAAAACCTTGTAGCCAATCTTTTTCAGCCCCCAAATCGAATCACATCTTAACAGCTTGTGCAGAAACTCTGTGTCAGCTTTGCGCACAGGGACGACGTGAGCAACTTCCTTGAACTTGCACATGATGAACTTGCACGTGATGCCCCTGCCCCTGCCCCGCAGCCCCCCCCCCCCCCCCCCTTCTGGCTACGTGCCTGCTCTGAACAAAATTCTTCTCTTGCAATGCTGATATTTTTGAAGGCTAGAATCCCGATTTCGTAACTTTATCTTTGGTAGTTTCTCCTGCTGATCGAGAGTTTGCGCAGCCGAGGTCAATCCTTCTACGAATAACTTGCGCTTGCAGTCTAGTAGAATTGCTGTACCTTACTAAAAGCTGAGAAGCAAAAAATAAAGCGAAACAAAGGGCAAATAAACACAGATAGGTGGCGCATGCCACTTCTAGCGCTGGAGACGTGGAAGCCGGGACTCGTAGCTGGTTGCCTGCGCGCCGCTTCCTAAAGAGTCGCGGGCCGCATGTTTGAGACCCCTGGCATAGAGCCAAGGCTACAGGCCGTCTGTTTGAAAACAAACGGGAGCTTACGCTACAAAGATACGTTTTTAAAACTAAAAGCGGAAGCTAGCTTGTGATTGTCGCCTTCGCTGCCATGTCAGCGTAAAAATAAACGAAATAAATTCAATAATATATTTTTTTTTGTAATGTGAAAAGATATGAAAGTTCTCACCCTGTTGTATGCGTTGATAGAACCAGGTGGAGTAATCACCCGCACCCATGCTTTTCGCAGTTCTTCATCCTCCGGGAACTTCACAGACACTTTCTTCGACGACATTTCATAGTTCCCATGGCACCCAGGGACACAGCATATATGAGACATGGCTAGCCCGAAAGCCGCCCGAACTTGACAACCACCACGCGCTAACCGCCATGCACACCAAACACTACAGGGACCGTTAGAGCAAGCAGTTCCCGCGCTCCCGCCGCGAGACTTGTGCAAGCCGCCATGCGCAGAGGTGGCAAAAATTATCATTGCGCAACTGCTCCGGGAGAACCCTGGGCTCACAAAAAGCTAAAAAAAATTAAATAAATAAAGGCCGGAGCATGCGCCGCTTGGCGTCCTCGGGAAAACACTTAGAAGAAAAAAAAAAGAAAAAGAGAGCATGTGTTGCGAAGAAGTCTTCCTCTCAGGTCGGCCCACTCGTCGTGAATCTGTGACATCACAACTCGGAGCACTGCTAACGACTACTAAGCACTGCGGCCTAGGTGGTGTTGGCTCCGCGTACTCCCCGCACCGTCCGCATATTAGGGTGTTTTCGTAGACCGCGTTTCTCCCTCCGCTAAGCCCTCCGCAACGAAGAAGCTGCTAGCTACCACTGCTACTGCGCGCCGATGGCTTTGACTGTAGAGTTCCGGGTATCGGAGCAGGTTGCGGAGAGCGTTGCGGGAGGGCGAAAACCATCTACGAAAACTCCCTATTCCCAAACGATTGACGCGGCCGCCCTAGAAAAAGAAAGAAAAAAAGTTAGCTTGTTTTGTTAGCTGGCTTTCCCCCAATGCAGCTGCCTCCCTTAGGGGAAAGCCAACTTGCAGAGCAAAACGGTACCCTGCAGGAGGTGCTCCTGCTCGTACGTGCTCCATTCTCTCGTCGTAGTTCGGCGCTAATGCGCCAATATAGAAGGAAGCAGTCTTAGCATTTTGAAGTCCGTCAATAGCGTGGAAAAATATTGTTATTGCGGATGCAATGAAGAAAAAGCAACAGATGATGCAAGACTATTTCACTAGTGTAATATGTCAGCAGGAAGTGGATTTTTGCGAATCAAATTCATTAAAACTTTTGTATCGAATTACCCTCTATATCGAGCTGGTAGGCGTTTTTTTGCTTATTCAATATAAACGGGTTTGACTTAATGAAACGTCTTCAAACTAGACATGACACTACCCTGCAACTGCAGGAAGCAAAAACAAGGCATGCTCACAGTCTTAATTGCTTTAGAGACTGTGTGTGTGTGTGTGCGTGTCGTTTTTGCCTCCTGCAGTCTCGGGATTCTGTTGTCTAGCATATTATCCACAAGCGCGTTTATGCCGTAACTTTCTGTTACGTTTTCTTTTTTTTTTTTTGTGTGTGTGTGGCATAGAGCACTTATTATGCTATAGCTTTTTTTATTTATTGCTTTACATTGGGTGACTTACGGAGTCTTAGTTTCAGCTGTCTGTGCATGACCTCTCTCTTACAACATGACGAGGTACATGAAGCCGGACCAAAGTGTTTTGTCCTTGTGTCTGGCCCTTTTGTGTTGGCATGGAAGTTTTAGTAATTATTTTGGGATTCTTCAGCTTGTTTCGAAAGTTATAAGCTTTTTTGTGTCTATATATTTTTTTTATTCATACATTGTTCTGGATTATAGGGTTGCTTATGGGCTCAGAAACAAGGGTGACAGTGGCGATGTATGCCTTTGGGGACTTCCTCTACCATTCTATTTTTTTCAGCAAGGAGCTTAGAAATGCCCTGAATCTTCATCCGCAAGAACTTCCTCCTTTCGTCTACCGAATGCGTGTGCTCGGGTATCCTCCCGGCTGGCTGAAAGATGCAGAAATTGAAACATCAGGGCTACAAATTTTTGGTCTTGATGGACAGGGTGAGCTGGTAGCACTCTAACATTGCAACTTCTGTTTAAGGGAGAGCACTACTCAGGAAGGAAAACGTTTTAGCCAACAGTCTTATTTGTATGAATTTTGCAGGGCACATTCATGGGTCGTTTCATTTTAAATCAAACACACTGGTTGGGGTGGATATTTGGATTTTTCTCAATATATATAATAGCCCCATGTCTAAGAAAAAAAAAAAAAACTGCATTTAAAAAAAAAAATGTTTTTTTAGAAAATTTTAGGCGGAGCAAGGTGAAAATCAAATTTGCGTGATTTTTGTATGAAGTTCTGTTACTTCTTATGCATACTGAAAATATTAAAATATGTATAGAATTTTTTCATGTAAATCTATTGTATGGCAAGTATTTTTTTGTTATATACTTTGACAAATAAGCCTAATGCCATTACCGAGATAAAAAAAAATGCCGAACATTTATTTACCTTTGACGTTTGGGGGAGGTATTTGGAACCTTGTATCTCCATATTATTTTTAATTAGCGCTTACCAAATACTGTTCTCGTGTAGTCCTATCCGTGGCCTGTAGGCTGATAGTACTTTTGTTTGATTTATAGTCATAAATTATTTTATATTAATTTTCAGATTTTATGAAAATCTAAATTTGGTAATATTTGAGGCTGTTTTATTAAAAAAAACTAATTTTTCGTTTTCTTTGTATAGTATTTCTAACAATTCCCAGTCATATAGCTTTTCTAGTGGCGTGATCCGAATCCCCTCTTTTTTTTTTGTTGTATTCTTGTTAGAAGACATTAAAATCAGATCCATGTACCGGAATTGGCAAAAAGCTAGGTTCTGCAAGTTGACTTTGTTTCAATGTTTATATCTGCTATACTCTGGGTCAACTTTCTACATTGGCACTCAAAGTGCATGAGTGTATGCTCTCCTACTTTTGACAACTTTGCCACAAAAAGTTGACCCCGAGTATAGTTTTCATCCTGAAGGCTTAAATATTTGTGTTGTTCTAACATAGTAATTTGAGCTAGTTGATACTTCAAGATGATAAAACAGCCCACAGGACACGGAGATAGAGAGAGGACAGGTAAAGTGAAAGATCGCTGACACCCAACTGATTTATTAATTATTATTAACTAGTGGGGTCCATTTCTATGGCCTCTTTTTTCTCCTCTTTCAAAATAAATCAGGCTGGAGTCGGCGCTCTTTCGCTCTACCTGTCCTTTGTCTTGCTCCGATTTCTGTGTGCTGTTTTATCATGTTAAATATTTGTGCCACATCAATGAGAAGAGTCGTGTTTTGGGTGAACAATGATATTCGACTAAATTAAAAATGCCCACCCTATCGGCCACGACTAAAAGATCCACCCCCATTTTCGTGGTCAGATTATTTTTCAAACATATGCACTTCCTCTAGGTTTGAAAGCCCTTAGAACTAGATTGAATGCACAGCTGCAAAGTAAACATTTCTTCTTTCCTTTCAATTGACGAAGGTCAGCAATACTTAGTTTTCTTTGACGAGCTGGCAGAGGCAAGCAGCATGACCTTGTGACCAGTATGATGACGACCCGTGAAAGATGCATCCCCTTAGCCCTAGCATCAAGGCCTAGCCCACTATTACTTAGGCAAGGTTCCTTTAATCTTTCTCTTTCTGTTTGCCAGATTGTGCTGCCACTACGTCGGCTTGCATTGTTGCAATAGATGTGTTGCTTAGTATACACATCGCGTGTGGTCTGCAGTTGAAGAGCCGTACCGTCTCTGCTTGTTTCCTAGTCGTATTCTTATTCTAAGGAGGAATATACCAACTCTCTCATCACAACTGTTAAAGACCACACCAACGAGAATATTTGGAAGGACCAGAATTGTCCTGGTGTCACAACGACGCAGCTAGCAGTGATGTTTCCTGCCCCAGCCTTTTACAGTCGCAGTTGATCCTCTCCGGTTTGGTCAGTTGCCATGCAACCTTCACAGTTCTAGTCGAGTGTCCTGCACTGACTACGATGGTTGCCATAAAAAGGAGATATATTGGAATGAACCTTTTCGCTCTGTGAAGGACCTGAACATGAATCAGCTGATGTTAGCCCTGCCCCCCACAGCATTCCAGCAGTGAGGGATAACGACATGTTGTGCCAGAATTGCTTCGCACATCTGGGTGAGAAACTTTTTGTGTCCCATACCTGTGAATCAAGCTCAAGTTCATGCTCAAGCACTGTCTCCAGCATGAGTTACTGAGAGACATGATTAAAGAGATTTCTAGCGGCGGACTTGAGACAACACCACTGAGAGTGCTGTCGGCAATCAATTCAAAATACCGAAAATCCTACGTGAAAAGAAAGCAAGGTGCAATAAAAGTGGCTTTCAGTAGAAATGTCTAAAAAACATTGGGTACTGCCTATGGCACAGAACCAAGCAGCTCAAGTCTCCCGACAGATTGTTCTTGCTTCACTTGCGGCGACAGGTGGCTGAATATCTGCTTTGCTTTTGTCAAGGCGCTGACAAACTGGGATAGGTGCCAGCTTTTGACAATTATTTCTGCCAGCGTTACTTTTACTGAAGCAAGAAAATTAATTCTAGAAGCATCAAAATACCTGCTGCGCAAGTCGAGACAACCGCAGTCTGACTGTGGTGTCTGGGAATCATCAGATCCATACAACGGCCACAAGATCAGCGATGATATACTATGTGTGGCGACTGAGTATTCTACCAGCGACTATCTTGATTTCCATTCAAAGTCCGAACGAAAAAGTTGCTATAAACGTCATTAAGGATTGCAAGAAAGAAGTAGTAATCAGAAGATTCATGACAAGGTCTATTCGGGAGAAGTACCTAATGCTCAAGAAAGCCAACCTAGAGACTAAATTAAAGATAGCGAAATTTTACCCGCTCCATTTGAAGTGGGTGAAGGTGAATCCGAAACAAACAGTATGCGCCTGCATGTGCCGCACGAATTTCAAACTTTGTTTTTCCGCCCTAAACTCTGTGGGTGAAAAAGCAATCACAAAGCAGGAGCTGAAGTCTCTGTGCCTTTGTTCAGATCCGATCGCGCTTGTTTGGGATGCAAATGCAAGGAATGCCCAAACACCCATACTCTTATGTTAGAACTTTTAGAAAATGTTGAAGAGAAGCAAGTAACATTCTGCGTGTAGGAGAAAGGAAATCTAATCGAGTAGACAACTCAACCACATGTCTTTCTTGAAGAAATTAAAAATTGTACCTTTCAGTTCATTGCGCATGATTACATTCTGAAATTTAAAAGATATGAAATTCGGCTCATGAAAAGCGAAGTAACTAAGAAGCGCGTAGTGCTTCATTTTGATTTTACCAAGAATTGGACTGTTTCACTACCGAATGAAGTTTAAGAGTACCATTGGCACAAACACAAGCCTTCGATTTTCACGTGCATTGCATCAGCAGCTAAAGGTCCCTGGAGTTTCGGCATCGTGTCTGAAGACCTCTGCCATGGATCATTGCACGCACTGCTGGCAATTTGAAGGATTGAAAAATGGCTTGGAAACAGCTTTCTGGCTTATTAAAGCGTCACCTCTATTTCTGATGGAGCTGCATCTCACTTTAAAACTGATACAGTACCAGCTCTTGGAGTTCAAGCACAGCGGCTCTGATAAAGTGAAATTGTTGCTCTCGGCATCTGGCCATGGCAAGAACTCATGCGACGGAGTTGGTGGCTTATTCAAGCACCTCGCCACAGAGCACAATTTTCATTACCAAGACGTGGTCTTGATAAGGACATTGGAGGGCTTCGTGGAAGAAATCCAGAAACAAGAAACGTCGTCCTTTTGAACTTACCAAAGAAGACGGTGAGACATTCAGGCAACACAAGAAAGAACTGTGTGCATCCCTAGGTGCTCACAAAGGGATGCGCTCTTCGCATGTTTGGCACACCTTTTACTCTCCAAATAAGTAGGGTTCTGCGTTTTCGGATAAATCTGATTAACTCCGAAAAACACTCGCCGGTAAAAAAATTTGGCCATTCGGATTTATCCGAAAAAGGCGGAATTTTGAGACTGCCAGTTCTATGGGCTCCATTGTTTCCTGTTTTTCTTATATATGCCGAACAACTTTGGTGCTTCTCTTCTTTTTTGTTCTAACTTTTGTGCGTAAGCTCCACAAAAAATGTCTTTTGGCCCCCTGTCAACGAAACGCGTCATCAGATCTCTACGGTAATATGGTCTCATGTATGGAAAAACTGCTGGACGAAATGTGCAAACTGCCATTTCCTGACTTATATTCGCAGCAAATAAAAGCCAAAAACTCGGAATTTTCATGTACCATAAATGGAAGCTCCAAAAAACTCAGAATTTGTTTTAGAAAATAAACTCTTATAAACACTATCTGAATTTGCTCAAAAAGAAACCCTGAAAACGTAGAATCATACTTATAAACTAGATTGTTATGAAGTTTGGAAATTAATATAAAATAATTTATGATTACCTATAAATCAAACAAAACTACTATCAGCCTACCCCCCCCCCCCCCTGGATAGGACTACACGAGGACAAGCTCTAATTAAAAGTCATGTGGAGATACAAGGCTCCAAATATGTCACCCGAACGTCAAAGGTACAATGTTTGGCTTTTTTTTTCTCGGAAATGGAAGTTGGCTTATTTGCCAAGTGTACCATATTTACTCAAGTAATAGCCACACTATTTATGAACAAGGCCCTTGCTTGTACTTTGCCGCAAAGCAGATATACAGCCAATCATCGCGTTGTGCATAAACAACGTAGCAAATAATTAGATTGAGAACACGATTCCCCATACAAATGCAATCTTTATAGAGGGTGTCTTCGCGCAAAGACGTTATCTCTGTCCTGTAAACCGCTGGAGTCATGCTGTCGATCGCGGTGATTGGCAATCCGCGTGCTCCGCGGAAAAGGGACCCCACAGGTTTTCTTCATAAACAGTGCGGCTCTTACTCGAGTAAATACGGTATAACAAAAAATGCTCGGCATGCAATAGATTTACACGAACATTTTTTTATAAATCTTAATTTTTTAGTATGCATAACAAGTAACAGAACTTCGTACAAAAATCAAACAAAATATGATTTTCACCTTTCTCCGCTTAATGTTGTTTTGTAAAACAAAAAAAAAAAGAAATTGAATTTCTTTTATGCAGTTTTGTTTTTTCTAGGCATGGGGCTATTATATAAATCTAATGAAGAACACTCCAAATACTCACCCCGACCAGTGTGTTCGATTTGAAACAAAACGACCCTCATAGCTGGGAAGAAGGGTAATAGGCAAAGTTTAGAGCTTATAAATTTCTCCTTCAAAGAGTTACATAAAAGTACATCAAATAAACACTGTGCCCCCAGAGGAAAACTATAATTTAGAAAAGGTAATGATAATGGCCATTTATTTCAGTCAAACATACACTGTAACACCGGTGTCATGTGACTGTGGGAAGAAATTACGGAAGTTAGTATACCATTTTTAAATGAGAACAAAGAAGTGAAAAAAAGGTTTGATTTTTTTTGCATGCATTAGGTTGAAGATGCGGCAGTTTTTCATAACAAAGGGCCATGAAAATTCAGAAAGTAAACTCACAGTCACGTTCCTTACAAAATTGCAGTGTAGAAGCTTCAAAAACTTGCTCCACACATCAATTCGTTATCAAATGATAGTTTTCATAAACCGAGACTTGATGGCATAAAGCAAGGGTGGCCAGGTGGACATATTTAGAGAACCATAAAACGGAACCATTTTAAGTGAAGAGCTGCAAAAAAAAAGTGGGGGGGGGAGGGGAGGGGGGCTACACTGGTTTCCATTTTTTTTCTGCTCAGTTGGTGGCCAATTCAACTCATAAAGCAATGGTTCAGTATGTTTCCTTACTGCGAGTTTCTTTTCGGAAGACAAGGACATTCTCCGATTTGCGTGTGATGGCCCAAAGCTGACAAAACGCAAGCTGCCTTTTTTTCTATATGTCTGGAGGAGGGGGGGGGGGGGGGGGTTAGCTTTACAAGGGAACCGCGAATCGCATTTTGGCCGCCGAAGAGCCATACGAGGCTCGCAAGCCATGGCTTGGCCATCCCTGCCATAAAGTGAAATTGAGATAAACATGTTTCAAAGTTCAGAAAGCTGCAGTTTAGATGGTGCCAGCATGTTGGAGAGAATTTATTCTGGATAGAGTACTCTAGTTACAAGAGTGCAATTTTTTTACAGCATCCATCAGGATATTTGAAGCCTGATAAGACTATTAGTAAAATATCTGATAAAGAAAAAAGCTATTTTAAGGTAGTGTCTTCCCTAACAAGAGTGGAATAAAAAGCAAAATGTTAATTTTCATTTAGAATAGGGCACGTCGAAGAACCATGACTAGCGTGTGACAATGATTATGTTACGCACATTAAGAAATCCTAGTGAAGTCGGTCTACTGACTGCCCCGACCTTTAGGCTGTTCATGTAAGAGTAAGCCGTTCAAGTAGGAGTTTAGTTTTTGCAGGTAATGTGCAATTAAAGTTAGTCTAGTACAGCCTCAACTTGGCAACAGCTGGAAGACATACAGGATGCTTTTTATTGTTAATTGTACGTGAAATTCCTTTCATTTTTTAGTTTTATCAACTTCTGACCTCCTGCGATACAAGACTTTGCCATGCATTGTAGTGAGAAGTAAATTTGCAAGTCTAGATATTTAGCTGCATCCACATACCTAGACTTTTTGGGCTAGTGTTTGTCTCAATAGGCCCTTTTCAAAAGTGTGCACCATTGCCTGTCCGCCATTGCTTATCGCATACTCTGAGCATGTATTGGACAGGAGGGCTGCATGAGCGTCTGGCGTGAACTCGGCTCGGCTCATGTTGAAAACGAGTGCTCTGTCAGCATTCGGCGAGGGCTCGGATTTAATCACACTCTTTGTGTCCAAGCAATGGCGACCGTCAATATTCCTCGATGGACTTTTGAAAAGGTTCTACTATGCTACAGTTCTAACAGACGGAAGAGGGGGACTGAATGAGTACACATTGTGTTGGTGTGTTCATGTCACAAATGCATTACATTGTCACATTTAGAGGATGAGATTGAAGATGGAGAAATAGATTCTACAGAAAAACGAGGTGGGTTAATTGCTTTTGTTTTCTATCCCTAATAAAATAGAGGCAGCCTGTCGCAAGAAAGTGTCCCTACCTTGCACACATTTCCTGCATGTGCTTGGTTAAATCTCATTTGTAGTCTTGCCATGCATAGACCTTTGCGTTGTGACAGTTGATCTGCTGCTTTAACTTGCACGTTGCTTGCTTACTGGCTCACAGGACATCCTGTCCCCGGGGGTGAGGCAAGTGTGAGGCGACCCGTGTATAGATACTTTGTTTCATGGTTGAAAGCCCAACATTTTATGAAGGCGTAGCTAGGTGGACAATTGCTCAGAGAAAAAGTTTGGTGTCAATATTGGCCAAAGAAAATCTTTGAAAAAGGGAACTACCATAAAATACCGAGCAAGCGTCCCCTTTAAATTTTGAGATTATCCAATAAAAATAGGGAGGGGGTCCTTACTTGGTTCGGAAATAACGTTCAAGATGGCGGCCATAAAAATATTAAATTTTCGTAAAATAGGAGGGTGCGCTTAAACGAGGGAGGGGCGCATGCTCGGTATTTTACGGTAAATCAATAGACATGCATGGAAGTTTTGAACACAGCTGTCTTTGAAACTTCTTAGCTGTGTTTGAAAAGTAGGCAGAAGTGAATAGGACTTTTGTCCTTTTTTATCTGCATTTCTTGGTACTGCTTGGATGATTTAATTTGTAACCAACTTGCTAACTTGCTCATGAGCCAAAAGTCTGAGACCTGGCTGCATCCCCACATAGGCCGTTCCCGAGTTGGACCATCGATTTGCAAAGTTTATTTTAATTGTGTCTCACCCCCTGGGAGCAGTCTGTACTTGTGTAAAATGGCAGTGCATGAAAAACTGTCAAAGGGTGGCATTACTTTATTGGGAAATATATATACATTGCAGTCCTTTCTCACTGCTCCCTTTCCAGCTTGTGCCACACTTGCTTGCTTCGCTTTGAATGGTGGTGGTCATAGTGCTTAAAGGGATACTGACAGGGTATTTATGCTTGCAGAGGACTTTATTTGAATATTACCTATAAAGGCCCAACTACCCCAAACACAATTTGCAGCTTGAAATTAATTTTCTTTCTGCCTGCAAACAGCCGGTCGAGAATTGGCTGGTTTCACTCACGCTCACTCACTTTTCCATGGTCACGTGGCGTTAAAACTATGTGTACCAAATGTATTCAAAGTTGTGGGTCATCTAAGGCTCACATTCAATATTAGAAATAGAAAAGAATATAAAAAAACATTTTTGCAGCTTCCAAAAAGCTGCAAATATGTTGGTAAAAAAAAAAATGTTGCATGGATCACAGGAAGTACATGTACACATCATTCTCAATATGGCAACGTACGGGGGCCGGACGACGTGATGGCAACGCACAACGAACTAAAGTTATGACGGACGTGGGACTACTACTTCGGAACTGTTGTTCGTGGTACCGGCCAATCAATCTTCAAGCGCAGAACATCGAGCGGAAGGGATATAAGTGTGAAAACAATTGTACAACAAACGGTCCACGCAAGTTCGTCGTCGTCTGATTCACATGCCGAAGAAGCGGAGAAAAAAAAAAAGCTGTCGAGTGTAGCCACATGGCTTCCGGCTATAAGCTTCCATGCTCATGTTTCGGTTTCGGTTTTGAGCAATTGAGTTTTTTGGCTTTATTAAAAATATTCGTGTCTCTGCCGCAAAATATTGATTAAGTAGTCCCCTGGCAAAAAATAAAAAATAAATTAATTTTTTAGGAGTGTCAGTGTCCCTTTAAGATACTGCTTCAATTCTTCACCCATGTGACCTTCGGCCATTTTTCTTTCCTAAAGCTCAGTATGATCCAAGTCGGCTTATCAGTTTCCCAGGCTTCAATGTCCCACTGCCACCAGGTGTTCTGGATGTATGTATTCCAAGAAGAGTAATCCTATCTCTGCACTTAAGCATAGGAAACAATTTGTGATATTTTCACAGCGAAGCTGTTATACGCTAGGATCTGGAAAAAAATGCTTCCGCAGATGTTGACAGAAAACTCCCCATTGGTCGTGACAAGTATGAATAAATAAAAATAAAAAGGGGGAAACCGGCCTGAGTCGGCTTTCCTTGGCATTATTAGCTAGTGAGGTCCTGATCCCTTGTTATTATCTCTAAGCATCATCCTCAAGGTCATCCTAGAAGTCGGCCTCGAGGTCGTCCTAAAGTCGTCTTCAAGGTCGTCCGAGGCGTTGTCCTCAAGGTCATCCTAGAAGTCGTCCTTGAGGTCGTCCTAGAAGTTGTTCTTGAGGTCATCCTAGATGTCGTCCTAGAAGTCGTCCTCGAGGTCGTCCTAGACGTCATCCTCTAGGCGCGGTCCTCGAGGTCGTCCTAGAAGTCGTCCTTGAGGTCGTCCTAGACGTCATCCTCTAGGCGTGGTCCTTGAGGTCGTCCTAGACGTTGTCCTTCAGGCATCGTCCTAGACGTCGTAAAAATAACAGCTTCGCTGGTCCTCCATCTTCACGTGAAGTGGAAGGGCTCTACAATTTTTTAAACAGTTTTTGCAGATCCCCCAAAAGGGAAGGTCAACATGATAGGATTTCTGCTTCCTTTTAAGACTGTCTTATTATTGTGCTTTAAATGAATTATTACTTAAATTGATTTGGCTAATCTACCTACTAAATATTTGGTTTAGAACAACATAGAAGTTCTATTTTTTTACATGAAGATGAACTGCAAATGAAGAAATGAACCAGCACTGAGGCCTAATGTTGGGCTCCATTTTAATTCACCGTTAAGTTGCCCTGTTATGCTAGAGATAGAATGAAGAACTGTGTGAAGTGCAAGGACATATTTAGTATTTAAAGTTTATGGAATATGGTACATACATTGATGTCAGATGGGTACAAACCTCAATAATATGGATACCCTACAGTGTAGAAAACATTTTCGAGGATGACCTGCGTAAACCCATGCAGTTTTGTCTCCTTATTATGGATATGGACAGCTTGCACAATGAATGCTTCTCTTGGGGAACGGAGGTGTCCATATCAACGAGACATCATTGTACGAGGGGGGAGAAACCCAAAAGTAAGCGGAATTAATTTCTTCAGGCCGGGCCGTTCATAGTACGTACCAGCTTCCGCATCTAGCAGCCCTTAGCGGCACCCCTTCAGAGTCAGCTTGCTGACCGGCGTCATCTGCTAAAGTTCTAGTGGCATGTTGTGAATTTTTCCCCAGGCGCTTCAAAATTGTTCTTCCTTTATTGCAATGTCTGATTTGAAGGACCTTCAACATCAGCAAAATATTTTCCTTTCAGGACTTTTTTATACGGGCAAACAGATGAGAAAATTTGCATGGGTCCAGGTCCTGGGAGGGGAGAGGAGGGGAGGGGAGGGGAGGAGGAAAGGAAAGCCGCCTCGGTGGCTCCAAGGCGAGAGCGCCGGCCTACGGATCCCCAGGTGGCGGGTTCGAATCCCGACCGAGGTGCCCGTATCCCCAGGTGGCAGGTTCGAATCCCAACCGAGGTGCCCGCAATATGACGGAGGCTTATTGCGGAGAAGGCGCCGTGTAACCGAGCTTTCGGTTGCACGTCAAAAGATCCCCAGGTGGTCGAAATTAATCCTCAGTCCTCCGCTGGGGCATGCCAGATGCCCGTCGTAGGTTTGGCATGTAAAACCCCCAAATTTGACTTAGGGGAGGAGGAAGAGAAGAGTAGGAGAGAAGCGGTGTCATACCATTTCTGTTAAAAAATTGTTGCGTTGACAGGACAGTGTGTGCTGGTGCATTGTCATGATGGAACTACCTCCCCATTTCCCACAAATCTGGGCGTTTCTGCCTCGCTGAGTTGTGCAAGCGTTGCAGATCTCCCAGGTAAAACACCTGATGAACAGTTTTACCAGGAAGAACAAACTCGGAGTGAACAATGCCCGAATTGTTTTAGTGTTTTCATCAGTTGAAGAAGTTGAGGGGTTGCCCTGAACGAGGTTGGTCGACGATCAATAATTTACTGGCCTTGAAGCGAGAAAACCACTCGGAGGACCTGCGATTTTTTCATAACATCATCTTTGTTGGCTGTCTGAAGCATTACAAGAGTTTCTGCTGCCGTTTTTCGTAAAAGGAAAACGGAAAATTTTCTCGGCTGCACGCTGTTCCTATAAATCAGACGTTGCAAAAAGCAAAGAATGATTTTAAAGCGCTTGGGGAAGACAATTGCAACATGTCGCCAGAACTTCAGCGGACGACGCCGGTTGGCAAACTGGCTTGAAAAGGGGTACCACCAAGCGCTGCTAGCAGTGGAAGCTGATACTACGAATGGCCTGCCCTCGAAAAATTCATTCCAGTTACTTTTGGGTCCCCCCTCATATATGTTTATTATCTTAATGCACTAGTCTCTCAGTGCGACTGAAGAGTGGCTTTTTATTTTATTCATTGTGAATGGTGATGTTTTTTTTTTATAATCTAAAACAAATATTTCAAGGGGATTGAGGCAGATAAGCAGTACTTTAGATTGATTGATGATGCACTTTGATGCAGTGGTCGTGTGGCAGTAATCTTATTGTATATGTAATTTTGCTTCTCCCTACAGTTGCATGAAGAATATAACATGCCTCCCATGCAGCCCCATCAGCAAAAATATGAAGCGGAAAAATATATGTCGTCACCAGTAAGTGATGCGAGTGCGGTACAAAAATGAATATTTTCAGTTGTAGAAAGAAGCTCTTGAAGCTAGAACTTCGATGGTTGTACGGTTGTATGCGAGGTTCAAAGTGAACATTTTTTAGAGTCCAGCTCTTCGGCGCTTGTTTCCGGGTTGAGCGGCATCGGCGTCGCCGTCAGCGTAACCGCGCGCGTTGCATTATGGGACGTTTCCCCGCTAACTTTAGCGGAAAACTTTTCCCGCCAAATTTAGCGGGAAAAATTTCCTTCTAAATTTAGTGGGGAAATTGCCGTCGCGTGACCTCAACACCAATTTAGATTCCCCGCTAAATTTAGCGGGAAAAATGACGGCACGACTTCATGTCACATCGCTCATGAACAAATTCAGTGGCAGGAGGAGAGGAGGAGGAGGAGAAGGAGGAGGGGGAGGGACATACCCTCCCCTCTGTACCCTCTTCTCCTCAAGAGCTGCTCTCCACTTTTGCACTGCAGAGATTTGTAAACGTCTTTCAGTATTTTTGCAGATGAGGTTGTCAGCCAATAGTGCAAAGCACTCATTAATTTTTTTTTATTTTATTTTTTTTTATTTAGAGAGTTTTGCAGGGTGGTAACTGGTTAGTGTAAGGGTGCGATCCACGTTTTCCAGCAGCCTTTGTTGGCTTGAAATCATCCTCTTGTGAAGTGGTAGCCATGATTCAAAGTGTTGGCCTTAGTGTAGACCAGGGGTGGCCAGTCGGACATATTCAAAGAGCCATAAAACAAAACCATTTTTAAAGAAAGGAGCTGCAATAAAAAGAAGCCGCCTTTAAATTTTTTTTCTTTTTTTTGGTGGAGAGCCTTGTATATCTGTGTGTGATGATAAAAACTAACAAAACACAGCTGACCTTTTTTTTCTACATTTCCTTTATTTTGATGGTTTCTGGTGTGTGCGTGTGTGGGGGGGGCACATGGGCCCTGAAGAGCCACATGAGGCGCGTGAGCCGCAGTTTGGCCACCCCTGGCGTAGATGATAGCGGGTCAGGAAATGTTTGATTTCTAGGCTGTCATTTCTCAAAGAATAAACACCACGGATGTGCACTTCTGACAAAACTGGAACAGGGGCCGGGATGCCTCTCAGAAGAAAAAAAAAAACTAGCCGAGCGTTTTGTATGCATTTCTTTGAACTGTGTGTGTGTCTGCACCTTCCAATGTAGAAAGCATAAATAATATACAGGGTGTTTCAGAGAACGCAGGCCAAATTGCTCCTGCGAAAACTACTCATCGCAACGAAAAAAGTCTTGTGGCGTTTTGGTCCTGGGCCAGGGGCCCATTTAGGAAAATTATTAAAGTTTGAAATAATTAAGTTGTTAATTATTTTTGCGTAATTAACTTTTTTAATATTGTGTTTAAGGGCATGGTTTCAATTAGAAAATTGCTCAGAATCATCGAAAAACACTAAATCAACAAATTGCAGAACGATAGAAGGCACGCGAAGCATTTTACGGCTTTTTGAAAAACCGCACAAATTCGACGGGTTTTTAAGTTTCGGTTTGCTATCGGAGCGCATCTGGGCCTCGGTGGCACCGCGCCCCGTGGAGAGATAGTGCAACCAACCTCTGCTGCGCTGTCATCGCGCGACGCATCAGAGGCTGGTTGCACTATCTTTCCACGGGGCGCGGTGCTGCCGGGGCCCAGATGCGCTTCGATAGCAAACCGAAACTTAAAAACCCTTCAAATTTGTGCGGTTTTTCAAAAAGCCATAAGATGCTTCGTGCGCCTTCTATCGTTTTGCAATTTGTTGATTTAGTGTTTTTCGACAATGCTGAGCAATTTTCTAATTGAAACCATGCCCTTAAAGATAATATTAAAAAAGTTAATTATGCAAAAATAATTAATAACTTAATTATCTCGGACTTTAATAATTTCCCTAAATGGGCCCCTGGCCCAGGACCAAATCGACACAAGCCTTTTTTCGTTGCGATGAGTAGTTTTCGCAGGAGCGATTTGGCCCGAGTTTTCTGAAACACCCTGTATATGTCCTCAACAACATTGCACTAGCTGTGTTGGCAGAGGTGACATAGGAACACTTCTGCATTCTAACTGGTTTTTGTAATAGCCATACTTAAATGTGTTTCACATGAAACAACACGCTTATCGCACCTGCAACTGCAAGGGAATTCCTGGAGTGAAGTTCTGTACTGTGACTTTTATGAGCACCAGGGGTGTGCCAAATGCCATAAATGTGGTGCTGTGAGCATTGACTACTGGTACTCGGTGAAACATCCTAATGTTTACCACTTTCATTTAGTGTAGTGGTCTGCCAGGCAAAGTTTTGTATGGGATTTGCTTTTGTGGAGTCACCATCAGAGGCCATTCCCACGAGAGAGATTGGTCAATATGTGTTGGTGAAACGCTAACCCCTGTATGTGTTAGCATTGATGATATAAATGTGAGAAATAAAATGTCTCTCTCATCTTCTTGATACCGTCTAGCCAGGTATGCACGTGAAAAGTATACTGAAGTCAAACAAGCATGTGCAAAGCGGCAGCACTCTGTGTTCACTTATTTGCTTTTCTTGCGAGTTCTGTTGCTTTTTTTTTTATTTTGGTGAAAGGTTCAAAGAATAAAGTGGGAAGTACTGTAAGCCTTCCTGTGATGTTGTTCTATTAGCACCTCATGGAAATTGTCTTTTGGTGATAGCATTTGTATGCTCAATCCATTCTCCCACAGCAAGTGAAGCCTCTCTCTCGGCGTGCAAAGTTTCCAGCTGTTACTGTCAAGCCGAGCACTGATACTGGGCCTGTTGTTGATATGGATATGGATGATGGAGTCGAAGATGGTATGCCCGTGCCTTATATTTGATCAATTACTTTTGTACACATTGAATTTTACAGTCTAAACTTATACTCTTAAGGTATTTTAGGTTAGTGGCATTTGCTGGTTGTGGAAAGTTCAGGCACCTGTGTACCAGATTTCATTCACCTGTTCATATTTCAAAACCTAAATTATTGCAAAAGCATATGCCGGAGCACTGCATGTTGCCCCGAACATTGGTGCAAGATCTGTTTACTGATTGATTTATGACAGGCAAACAAATAACAAGAAACACCTTGCATTGAGATAAAAGTTTGATCTTGAGGAATCCACTTTGCTTGTCCTGCAGGTCAGTTGGGCACACCAAGCACAGTTCCAAACTATGCGCCTCTCAACGGTACCAACGAACCCTCGACGCCAAGCAAGCCCGTTTACATCCCAACTCCTTGCGAACAGCTGGCACTCAGAAGTTTGGAAGCAGAGTTAGAGCAAGAGGGTGCAAAAACCTTGAGCGAGAAAGTCAAAGCAGGTGCTGTCTTGGAGACGGCACAACCGGACAGCCCGCCCTCAAACTCTGGCTCGCAAGAAGTGGTCATGGGCACTCCCTTTCTCATGGGCTTCAGCCCGTACACTCGTCTTCCTCCAAGAGAGAACTTTGCCAAGGGAGTGTCCGAGTACATTCCGTTTGAGAATTTGCCTGGTTCCACTGGCACCTTTGAGAAACTCCGTGGGGTGATCTCCAAAGTGAGGGCTGCCCTGCAGGCCAGGCAAGCAGACAGCTCGTGACTGGACACCCTAACTGTAGATGTGGCGTTGGCCAGAGAAGTCTGTGCAGATGATGCAAGAAATTGTTTCGATGCTCTTCGTTGTCTAAGAGCACCAAAGGAAAGTATCTTTGTTTGCTGTAGGGTCAAGCTGTATTGAATGTTTTCATCACCATCATTCATGTGTACAAGGAGGAAGAATATACCTAGTGTGTATGCTGCTAACAGACGTACATAAAGGTATTGTGACATTTTCGTGCAGCTCTTTCCTCTATTTCTTTAGCAATACCTTTTAGAGGTAAGTAAAAACAGGGAAGACCAATTAACCAGGGCACTTGTGAATACGTCAAAATTTAGGATGCCTCTTTTTGCTGCCCCTTGTCCCCCGTTTCAGAGCTCGGCCCCCTTTTTCTAGCGCCTCTATTTCAACGAAGGACATGTTCCTTTGAAACATTCACATATTTATGAATACCATGATAGCAGATAATACAGTATACTACTACTATTTTTTTTTTTTTTTGCTTTGAGTATAAAAATGTTTAGATGTTCTTTAGACAGCGGGGTCTTCCGCTACAGCAGAGATCTGACCAGGTGGAAATTTTAAGGCCCG